GGTCTATTATTTTCAAGATCAAAAAACTTAATTCAAGTAGTGGTTCACAACTACACAGTTCATAAAGGACAGCCGGGACTCGAACCTAAAACTGACCCAGTCCACATTAATCCCCTCTCATAATTGCCTCCTCTGGCCTGGCCTTTTTATTTATTTATTTTATTTTATTTTTTTCACTGTTTCCAAAAAGAATTTTATTTATTTATTTATTTATTTATTTATTTATTTATTTATTTATTTATAAATCAATCTTTATTGTTCATATTATTACAAAGGATCACCTTTCTTCCCCCCTCCACCAGTTCCCACCCCACCCTCCGCCCTCTCCCCATCCCCCATTGTTCTCATCCATAGGTGCACAGTTTATGTTCAGTCTCTTCTTCCCTCCCTTTCCCTGATAGTAAATCCCTTTTCAGATAGTAAATCAGTTACTTAGCATTTTCTCATATCAATAATACCTCCACATGCCCGATGATACACTTCACACAAAAGACATTTCCCAATAGGACCACCAGCCTCATCCAGGCCCCACCCAAGGCACTCACAGATCAACACCCCAGTCCTAAACTAACTCAACACATCCAGATCTAAGCCTTCATCACTTGATTCAGCAGACACTCAAGTTCCCACGAAAGTTTCCAGCCATGTCTGAGAAGCAGCCGTGGGGCAGGGGCAGGCAAGGAGCGAGCTGTTCCGGGCCTGGCTGCTCCGGGTCTGGTCACTGCCGCTCCCAACCTAGTTGCTCTGGACTTGGCTGCTGCTGCTCCGGGCCTGGCCGCACACGACCCAGCTGCTCTGGGCCCGGCTGCTCCGGGCCTGGCCGCTCCCAGCCTGGCAGCCACTGCTCAGGGCCTGGCCGTGCCAGACTTGGCTGCTCTGGGCCCGCCACTCCGGGCCTTGGCCTGGCCTTTTCAATCAGACTAGTGATAGCATCCGAGGCTTAAAGGGAACCCTCATCACAATCTCTGTAGCTTAGTACTGTCTCATCTTTTTATGAAATTATCATGGAAACCATACGTTTATTCCAGTGGCACTCCCGGTGCTCAGAGCTCTTTTGAAGCTCTTGTTTATTCATTCATTCCACAAATATTTGGTGCCTATGAGCAGATGCTCTACCAGGGAAATAAATGATGAGAAAACCAGAGTCCTTCCCCTCACTGAGCAAAGGCAGAATGGACTCAAAAGCAACGTGCTGGAGGAAAGGTGCCGGGAGGCTGAGGGTGTGTTGCAGTCCAGGGAAGCTTCTGAGAACGCGATGCTGAGGGTAAGACCTGTCGGGTGAGGGGTGACCTAGGTGACAAGGAGAGGAAGGAAGCCGGCACCGAGTGTGCTCTGCCCTGTGGAATCACGTGTAGGACTCACAAGTGGGGAGGGCGGGCCAGGTCATGCGTGGCTTTGCAGGTCTTGTAAGAATTCTGATTTGGCCGAAACCAAATCACTGGATTTGGCTCAGTGGATAGAGCATCAGTCTGCGGACTGGAGGGTCCCAGGTCCGATTCTGGTCAAGGGCATGTACCTTGGTTGCAGGCATATCCCCAGTAGGGGGTGTGCAAGAGGCAGCTGATCAATGATTTTCTCTCATCAGTGTTTCTACCCCTCTCTCTCCCGCTCTGTAAAAAATCAATAAAATATGTTTTTTTAAAAAGAATTCTGATTTGTCCTGAGAGCCCTTGGACTTTATTTAGATGGGGACATGACCAATTCCGCATGTTACCAGTATCACTTAAGGATGGCTGCATTTGCCGAAACCAGTTTGGCTCAGTGGATAGAGCGTCAGCCTGCGGACTGAAAGGTCCCAGGTTCGATTCTGGTCAAGGACATGTACCTTGGTTGCGGGCATATCCCCAGTAGGGGGTGTGCAAGAGGCAGCTGATTAATGATTCTCTCTCATCGATGTTTCTAACTCTCTATCCCTCTCCCTTCCTCTCTGTAAAAAAATTAAAAAAATAGCCAAACCGTGGATAGAGCGTCAGACTGTGGACTGAAAGGTCCGAGGTTCAATTCCGGTCAAGGGCATGTACCTTGGTTGCAGCACATCCCTGGTGTGGGTGTGAGGAGGCAGCTGGTCGGTGTCTCTCTCTCATCGATGTTTCTAGTTCTCTCTTCTCCCTTCCTCTCTGTAAAAAATCAATAAAATATATATTTTTAAAAATCAATAAAGTACATTAAAAAAAAAAGGATGGCTGCGTTTGAGGAGAGCTGCATGAACACTGCCCCTCGTGCCTGCTGGGGAGGACAGCGGCTGAGTGTTGTGATGGTAATGAAGATGGAGAACGGTGCATGAACTCAAGGGACACTATGTAACAGGCAAATCTCCTGGTAGGTTCTGAATGGTAGCAAGTGAATCTGATTCCTAAAGGAACGAAGTAATTAAACCTAACACATGGTGTGCTTGCTTCTTCCCTCAGCCTGGCTGTTGCGGTTTCCTTTAGAGCCCCAGAGAGGCGGTAGGCAGGGGCTGCATCATGCAACGTGCTCAGCGACCCCAAATGACTGCTTTGGGTTTCATGGACTTCTCCCCTAAACAGAAGTAAAATTCAGATACACTCTCAGCACCGCTCCTGCCATCCACATGATAGCACAGAAAGACAACAGCACTTCACTATGTGCAAAATGAGGTATGCTGTACATGTGACGAGTAAGCCTTCAGAAACGTAAGATGTGCCAAAACCGGTTTGGCTCAGTGGAAGAGCATTGGTCTGCAGACTGAAAGGTCCCAGGTTCAATTCCAGTCAAGGGCATGTACCTTGGTTGCGGGCACATCCCCAGTAGGGGGTGTGCAGGAGGCAACTGGTTGATGTTTCTCTCTCATCGATGTTTCTAACTCTCTGTCCCTCTCCCTTCCTCTCTGTAAAAATCAATAAAATAAAACGTAAAAAAGAGAAGTGTAAAATGTAAGATGTATGCCTGCCTGTGGGGCTCATTGTCGACCCCAGAACCAAGAGGTCACCGGTTTGATTCCTGGTCGTGGGCTCACTCTCCAGTGTGGGGCATGCAGGAGGCAGCCAACCAATGACTCTCTCTTATCATTGTTTTTTCTCTCCCCTCCCTCTCGCTTCCTCTCTAAAATCAATAAAAATAATTTTAATGTAGAAAGTCCTTATCTCATACTAGTGACCTTTCACTCGGTCTATATAAGCCAAGTAACTTACTCACTTAGTATTTTCCTAGTGATTTACTCAGGAATGGGGAAAAACTCCTCCTTAAAATAAGATTGGATGGTTTTATTATTCAGAACAAGTTAGTAATTAATCTGTACTATTTCCCCTAAAAATAAAATTTGATATAATTCCTTAAAACTTCTTAAATAGAAGGAATACTTATCAACTTATATTAAGATCAACGCCTAACTACTCCCCTGCCGGCCCAATTGCCTGTTACTTCCCTTCCCTGCTGACCAGGTCACCCCTAACTGCCCTCCCCTGCTGGCCCAGTCACCTCTAACTGCCCTTTCTCTGCTTCCCTGGCCACCCTCAACAGCCCTTCCCTAGAGGCATGATTGCTCCCTATTGCCATCCCCTGCAGGCCTGGTCCCCCGCAATTGCCCTCCCCTGCAGGCCTGTGTCCCCTCCCCCCCCCCCAACTGTCCTCCCCTGCCAGCCATCTTGTGGCAGCCATCTTGTATTCACATGGGGGCAGCCATCTTGTGTGTTGGAGTGACAATCAATTTGCATATTACCCTTTTATTAGACAGGATGAAAATGAAGACATATTAATTTTCATAAATCAATTTATTTAGAATTACAAATATTAAGAATAAAAGATTTATGCTTTTCTTAATTAACATAACAGTTGAGCTAAATATAAACTCTGCACTAAAGTTCTGCAGTGGCACAGAATATGGAAGCATTTTTAAACTATACAAAAATTTAAAATGGAAAATAATCTCATTTTTTATACATTAATATATAAAAGCCTCATTTTATGAGACATCTAAAAGAATTAAAGCCACTTCTACAGCTATATCTTAAATTCCAAATCTGAAAACAATTTATTATATTTTGACTTTATAATATTCTATATTAAAACAGAGAATTTCAAATACACTTTTTACAAGATTAATATTTTAGGATTTTCTTTAAAAAAATCAAAACAAAAAAACCAAAACCACAACCAAATACAAACCTTTTCTCTGTATTTCACAGCACAGGTGTTGTTTTCCTTATAAAATCTTTTTACTTTATAAATGGCATATTGTGGATTTTAACCAGTAATTTGGTCTAAAAGTTGTGCAAATAAACAAAAAATATGAAAATAGTGTGTTATCAGTCTTTTCTTTTTTTAATAAATCTCATAACAATAGCACTTTTTGCCCTGAATTGACGGGGAAAGACATGCCAAATCCACTTGCTGAGATTCAGCATTTTGTAAGTAATGTTTTTTTCCTGCTCCTTCATTTTCTTTCAACAAACAACAAATGTTTCTTTTATAAATTATGATAAATTAAAATATTTATTATTATAAAGGATCTACAGAACCATGTCACATTGCAAGTATATACTAGATATACCAGCAGTCTGTCTTCCAGTGCCTTCCTTCCCTCTGGGCTTCCATAGCTCGCGATGAAGACTGAAGTGGTGACCGACTAACGAACGGATTGCCTTTTTCCAGATGCAGTTCCCACATGGCCACCCGTGTGCACAAGACTACTCCTCCATGTTCTCCACTACAGTTGTCTGCACGTGTACATTGATGCGAATTCATGCACATTAAAAAATGGCCAATGCATTCCTCCATGAAAGTATGTTCCAGTTTAAAAACTACTTGCTAATAAACATATGTAATACAAGCAATGCTACTGCAGCTGAATAATAAAAGAAAAATAAATATGCTGATGGTCAGCAGTGCTGGTTAAGAAGCAGTACAGGATACTAAAACGCCTTATTCGGAGATACGTTTCCCTTGTTTCCCAGCGCTGGGGGATTTGGTGTTGGAAGCCTCTAGGAAGGAAAAGAACTTCTCGAAACAATGTCCTATGCAGTTGGCATAATTCAATCCACTCAGTCTCTGTTGGTGTTATTTTCTGCAAAGGCATGTAAGTTTCCCATCTGGCTCAGGCCACTCTGAATATGTGCAACGTGGATTTCTACATTATTCTGAAAGCAACTAAAGAAAAAAGAAACATGGTTAACTGCTTTATTTCACAATATTAAAAACAATTTTTTAAAAAGGAAAATTGCTAAGAATATTAATTGCTAAGATAAGGATTCTACCCTGCACATTAGCCCTAATTCCATATCGCACTAACTGAAAAATGTACTCAAAAGTAGCAAGGAGCCAAGGAGTGATGGAAAGAGAATGAACCCCTGGACCAGATACTCTCTCTGCCTCTCTGCCGAGCCTCCACGCTAAACCAAAACCAAGTCTGGCCGGTTGAGCATGGACCCATGAACTAGGTCCATGGTCCAATTCCCCCTCTCCCTTCTCCTCAGAAATCAATAAAAATCTATTTAAAAAAATTAAATATTATATGTTTTCTGATTCCTTTATATAAAAATTCCACGTGAAGTTTCTATTCTATCAATAGATTGGATATAACTAAAAAGCTCCTTTACAATTTATTTAAAGAATACCAATTATGTAAGTACTTCGCAAATATGCATAATTCTTCAAACTAGTACTGGAAATCACTGAATTTAATATAAAAATGATTAGGGTGCATCTAATGAATTACCTGATATTAGAAACATCTATTGTACTCTTGATATCATTCAATGAATCTGTAAGTGATTTGAATTCAAAGGAATTCAGGTCTCCTCCTTCTGCTAGACACTAAAAGGAAAAAAATATTTCAAATTTTATTTATAGTTCAACTACAGATAAAAAAATACCCGATCTAATTGATGTATTATAATTTTTTAGCAACAAATATAATTTTTTAGCATAGTCCATTTAGGTGTTGATATTAAGAAACCATTTTCTCCGAAGTTTACCTTAATTTGTAATAAAATAGCTGTGAGCCTGGCGATGAGGTCGGTCAGGTTTTTGTTTTCCACGCAGGGCTGCCCGGCGGCGGAGTTGGCCTGCCGCACGATCTCCTGCGCCTCCTCCTCACACCGCCGCCTCATGTCTGTGGGCTGGTCTGCGGGCTGCAGCCCCTGGTCCGGGGCAAGCTGGACAGAGGACGACATGTGAGCTGTGCTTTCATTGGTGTGCTTGTGCCGTTTTCAGATTTGGATTTTTATAAAACTAACATTTATGACAAAAGTCATGTCCGCTCTTACCTTAGAAATCTCTCTCTCTTATAACAGTCCTCTGAAGAAAATAACACAAGAACTCTAGATAACCTTTTACCCAGATTCACTAACTGGTTATGGCTTACTGCATTTGATTTAACATTTGATCTCTCTCTGTTTGTGTAGATATAATTCCTTTCCCTTTTACTCATTATATCCCTAAATACTCATTATTTCCTTAGTACCAGGATATTCTCTTACATAAGAATAGTGCAGTTTGGTTCAGTGAATAGAGCATCTGCCTGTGGACTGAAGGGTCCTGGGTTCGATTCCGGTCAAGGGCACATGCCCAGATTGCGAGCTTAATCCTCAGTAAGGGTCATGCAGAAGGCAACCAATCAATGATTCCCTCTCATCATTGATGTTTCTCAATCTTCCTCACCCTTCCTCTCTGAAATCAATAAAAAAATATCTTAAAAAAGAAAAAAGAATAATCCAGGGAATATAACATTGATATAATTCCATTTTCTAATAGTCCATATTCAAATTTCTTGATTGACTCAATGATGTCTTACACACAGCTGTTTCCCCCCTGGATGTATTTGGTTATCATGTTCCTTTAGATACCTTTATTTCATGACCTTGATATTTCCATAGTATTTCATTTCCGAAGAGTCCCAGCCAGTTATTTTGGATAACACCCCTCAACGTGGTTTGTCTGTTTCCTCATGACTGCACCGAGGTTACGCGTTGGAGCAGGAATACCACAACGTGATGCTGACTTTTCTGAGAACCGTGACTGGGAGGCACTGAAGGCTGCCTGTCCCATTACTGTGATGCTACTTCATCACTTGGTTAAGGTAGTTAAGTGTCTGCAGATTTCCCCAAAGTAAAGGATTTGCCCCTTCATAATTAATATTCGTGAAGAGATATCATGAGGCTTTGTAAAGATCCTGTTCCTCATCAAACTTTTACCCACTAGTTCTAGCATCTATTGATGATTTTCATCTTTATCAAATATTACTATGATAGTTGACAAATGGTGTCTTTCTCATTCTTATCATTCCTTCTATGTTCATTGGTATTTTACTATTGAGAATTTTTCCTTAAGAAATAATTGGTATTAGTGGACTCGGGGTTCTTACTTTATTCAACGAGTTATAATTTCTTACTATAATTACTTACGCTGAAGCTCAAACTGTCCCAGACTGACCAGCGGGGATCCTGTGAGCTGGTCCCTTCTGCTATGTCCCCTCACCTGGGGCACGTTTTACTCCCTGGCACAGTAAGATGGTCTGGGCTCATCTTTTACATTCTCTGTCCAGTTCTGGGATCAGTCTCTTCCAAGGAGTGCTGCTTCCTTTTATTAAGGAGCTGTGTTTAGACTCTGAGATTTGGGTGCTGGGTGTGCTCAGTGCTATCAGGGTGTCATAGCTCAAGTTTCTCTCAGTACTTATACCCATATTATAAAAGTAAAATGAACCAGGAATTCACATGATTCTTCCTATTCTAGTCGCATACCAACGGGTTTGTTCTAGTCTTCCCCTTCTTGGTAAGTCCTTTCTCCAATAGGGAGAGACGTGGCTCCCATTATCCTCATGTACTTATTTAATCATTAGTGGCCTGGTGCATGAAATTTGTGCATGGGGAGGGAGGATTCCCTCAGCCCAGTCCCTCTCCAATTGGGGACCCCTTGGGGGATGTACAACTGCTGGTTTAGACCCAGGCCCTGTGGGATCGGGCCTAAACCATCAACTGGACATCCCTCTCACAATCTGGGACCGCTGACTCCTAACCACTCACCTGTCTACCCATCTGATCGCCCCTAACTGCCTCTGTCTGCCGGCCTGATTGCCCCTAATTGCTTCCCTTTCTGGCCTGATCTCACTCCCAACTGCCTCTGCCTGCCTGATCACCCCAACTGCCCTCCCTTGCTGGCATGATCTCGCCCCCAACTGCCCTCCCCTGCCAGCTTGATCTCGTGATCTCGCCCCTCACCATCTCTGCCTTGGCCCTCACCACCGTGGCTTTGTCCAGGAGGAAATCGAACATCAGGAAGCTGGCTGGTCGACCTGGTCTAAATAGCATATTAGCCTTTTATTAGTATAGATAGATTATATAGGATAGGATTGCTTAAATGGGGGGGGGGGGCGACTTTTTCAGCAGGAGGAGATGCTCTTAGCAGACAAAAATACATAATCCCTATGTCTGGACTGATAGCCAGCCATTTGCACTATACTGTCAAACTGGTCATTAAAAAATTGAACCACTTTCTTACACCTTACACCAAACAGCTTTTGCCCTTAAAAACCATCCTCAGTCCCCACCTTAGGTTCTGCCTTCATAGTTCACCCAGATTTGGTTCTGATTGGTCTGTTTCTATGCCAGCCAACGTCAAAAGCTCTGCTTCCTAGGCAGCCATTGGCTCCTCACACTTCACCCAGATTAGGTTCTCATTGGTCAGTTTTTATGCCAGTCAGTGTCTCTGGGCCTATCAACAGGCCTGGTCAGAGAGGCAGGGCTGATAAGCAGCCCCATGGAAGGCCCAAGAGAAAGAGAGGAGCAGCTGCTGGCCAGGCCCAGAGAGAGAGAGAGAGAGAGAGAGAGAGAGAGAGAGAGAGAGGGAGAGAGAGAGAGAGAGAGGCAGGCAGAGGCTGATCAACAGCTGCCCCAGAGACTACAGATCAGATCCTGCTTCTCTCTCCTGGTCTCTCTTTGGGCCTGATCCACAGCCCCCTCGGTAATCAGTGCTGGGTTGTGGCACCTGCAACAGGGGAAGTCAGTGCTTGAGTTGCCACGGCAACCCAGCACTGACTTCCTGTTGGTCCAGCCTTCGGTTGTTTTGGATGTTATGGACCCTGGGTTTTTATATATTATGAATTGTTTAATCCTAGGATCGTGTTTCAGAATTGCTAATCCTTTACCACTATGAGAGAAACCCTATTAACTAGGGTTCCGCATTTGTTTAACATTTGGTTACCTTTAGACTAAGGCTAAATAGTCAAATGCTATATTAGAGTCATTTGGATTCGCCTTTACCCCCTTCAGTGTGTTCACGCTACTCCTTTGAAATACAGTTAGGCTCAAATACAGCTTGCATTCCATTTTAGAGTTTACCTATATTTGCTGAGGAAACAAACACAGAAAAAAGTCACTCCTCCTCACTCCTCTATCCCTACTCCATTCCCAAATGACTTTCTGGTTTATTCTTCCTGTGTGTTTGGAAAAGCTAAGCAGAGGCATGTCTATTTTATTCGTGTATGTCTGTTACCCCAAAGGTAACTATTGCATGTACCTTACTTTTTTACTTACTATATCCTGGGACAGCAGAGAGCGCGCTTCTGGGTTTGTTCTCACAGCAGCAGAGCACTGAGCTGTGTGGTTACCCCGTATGTCACTTAGCCAATCCCCTGTGGGTGGCATTTACGTTTTATCTAACATTTTACAATTACCAATAATGCTGCAGTGAGTAGCCTAGTCCTCTAACACTTTCTAAAAAAAATTTAAATAGAAGAATATACATCACTACATAAAAGTTCACAAATCATAAAGTGTACGGACGAATGAATTTTCACTAATCAAACTCATGAGAAATCAGCATCTAGATTAAAAAAGAACATTACCTCAGAGGCCCTCCTAACACCAACCTCCAGTGTGATGCTCTGAGGGTAACCATCCTGACTGCTAGCAGCATAGACTAGCTTTTGAGCTTTACATACTGGTAAATGGAATCATGCATATTATATATATATATATATATATATATATATATATATATATTCCTGTGTGTCTGATTTTATCTGTTCAATATTATATTTGTGAGTTCGTCCGTGTGTTGCATGTAGTTGAGTTCATTCATTCTCATTGCTGAGAATATTCCATTGTATAATTTTATGACAGTTTATTGATTTATTCTAATATTAATGGATATTTGGGTGATTGCTAATTTTTGGCTAAAATGAACAGTGTTGCTATGAACATTCTAGTGTATTATCTTTTGGTATATATCTATTCACATATATATTATGTACTTAGGAGCACAACTTCTCAGTCATAAGTGTTCCCTCTGATATGTTCTTATATTAAAGTCAAATTACACTTCCACAAAAGTTTTCTGAAAATTATGCCAAGACCGGTTTGGCTCAATGGACAGAGCGTCGGCTTGGGGACTGTAGGGCCCCGGGTTCGATTCCGGTCAAGGGCATGTACCTTGGTTGCGGGCATATCCCCAGTAGGGGGTGTGCAAGAGGCAGCTGATCGATGACCCTCTCTCATTGATGTTTCTAACTCTCTATCTCTCTCCCTTCCTCTCTGTACAAAAATCAATAAAATATATTAAAAAAAAAAATTAAGTAATTTTACTTCATTAGAAAATGAGTCTATCACTAATGACCTTATGTATATAATGAAATTATACAAAAGACTGATGGGCGGCCATTTCTGCATGTATCATCAGCTTTGCTATGTGTCATCTTTTTGTTGTTGTTAATCCTCACCTATGTATATTTTTTCCATTAATTTTTAGAGAGAGTGGAAGGAAGAGAAGGAGGGGAAGAGAGAAACAAACACTGATGTCAGAGAGACACATCGATTGGCTGCTTCTTGTAAACGCCCCGACAAGGGTCTGGGATCGAACCTGCAACCCAGGAACATGCCCTTTGACCACGAATCAAACCTGAGGCCCTTCAGTGCATGGGCTGATGCTCTGACCACTGAGCACACCAGCCGGACTGCTTGTATCATTGTTATTTGCTTGGTTGGCACCTCTTGTGGACAGCTGCTAGTCCAGAGAGAATCTATTTGCTAGGACAACACATTTTGCTCTACAGGTAAGTGATAACTACCAGGAAAATAAAAGTAAATGGCAATTAATGGCCAGAGGAATGAGTAAATATACTCACAGTTTAGGAGTTGATAACCACTGTTCACTTCCCTAAATTCAAGTATAATGGATTGACAGTGTCACCTATGGCAGATCTTTGGGACTTATCTATGAGGCTAGTATCCCAAAAAGCTAATGGTTTAAGAATCTCATATGACAAATAAAGGTGGCTTACTGGAAACATAAAACCTCTAAGAATGTAAATGCAAGAGCATGCTAAATGCATATCCATCACTTAATCCACACTTCAGGTGAACTTTTGAACCACATTCATATATATATATATATATATATATATATATATATATATATATATATATAATTTTTTTAAATATATTTATTGATTTCAGAGAGGAAGGGAGAGGAGAAAGAGATAGAAACATCAATAATGAGACATAATCATTGATTGGCTGCTTCCTGCACTGGGTATCAAGCCCACAACCCAGGTATGCAGCCTTGACTGGAATCAAACCTGGGACCTTTCAGTCTGCAGGCCAATGCTCTACCCTCTGAGCTAAACCAGCTAGGGCCATATATATAATTTTATGTGCATGATAATGGTAATTCACAAATAACCCTTTGACTTATGTGTTTGAAGTTCAACAATCCACAGTTCTAATGTAAAGTTTAAAGGAGGAAAAAACAAAATTGTGTACACAGCATAATCACAACTTAGTGATAACAAGCATTCTATCTAATAAAGAGGGAATATGCAAATTGCTGTCACACCATCATAAAAATGGTGGCACCCATAGCCACAAGATGGCAGCACCTAGTCCCCTCAGCCCAGCCAGAGTCCCTCAGTCCTTTCAGTCCCGCCAAGGGGGTGGCAGGCATGCTGTGCAGCCAGACCCACCCTCAAACCCCCAGGGCCGGCCTGAGACAGAGGCAAGCCTTGGATGGCAGCTACCCAGACGCCCAGGGCTGCCTGAGGCTCAGGTAACCAGGACCGGCTAAGGCTTGCGCTGCAGGCAGTGGCAGCAGCAGAGGTGTAATGGGGACGTCACCTCTCGCCCCTGAGGGTTCCTGGACTGTGAGAGGGGACAGGCCAGGCTGAGGGATCCCCCTCCAGTTCATGAATTTTCATGCACTGGGCGTCTAGTGTATATATTTAAAAATTAAGGGGAAATAAACCAAAATATAGTCTTTGGGATAGTAGAATTAAGTTATACAAACAGGTAACTCAGTTGGCTGGAGCATCCTCCTGATATGCCAAGGTTGTGGGTTTGATCTCTGGTTGGGGCACATACAGAAATCAACCAATGAATGCATGAATAGGTGGGACAACAAATCTCTCTCTTCCCCTATACCCTTTCTTCTTTCTCTCTAAAAGCAGTCAATAAAATTTTTTTAAAAGAGTAATTATTTTTCTTAAAAATTTTGAGACCTATATCAGTTGTAATCCAAACAAGATACAAAGCACTGTTTGGCCCTGATACTGTAAGAAATAAAAATACATACGAAATATGGTTCTGTTAAAGGGTTTTATGAAGATATTGGCTTACTCTGGATTTTCTAAAATGTGTAACAGTATTAAGCTTCAAAGAAAAGGATAGAGGGCACAGATCCGCAAGGGAAATTCATGTAAATTACCTACCTCATAGCAGTACTGCTGAACTTTATGCAAAACTTTGTTTAGGTCCTTGTTTAGCTGTTCAAGCTCTAGAACGATTGTTGCATATCTCCGCTGGAATTCAATGCCAATGGGCATGGAATATGATTTCTGAGGAGAAAATCAGATTTTGGTAAGGATTTCTTTGAGCAGTGCAATTTCAATGATCTAGTAAGAGATCTGACTTGTCCAATACAAACTAAAAGTTATTAGAATCGTCAACACTCAAAGCCACACTTCCTGTGTGTCATAATAACACTATGTACTGTCACTTAGAAGACTGTCTTTATTCCTAGGAGCATCATGCTTGCTATTTACTTTTTAAAAAAGGAAATCTTATACAGTTAAAAGAAATGAAGTAAAATTCTATATAATGTTCCTTATATTAGTCTTTCAACTTTTTCTAAGTTTGTGATTTTTCAATATAAAAAGTTGTTAAAAAATTATATGCAGCCCAAACCGGTTTAGCTCAGTGGATTGAGCATCAGTCTGCGAACTGAAGGGTCCCGGGTTCAATTCCGGTCAAGAGCATGTACATTGGTTGCAGGCACATCCCCAGTGGGGGGTGTGCAAGAGGCAGCTGGTCGATGTTTCCCTCTCATCGATGTTTCTAGCTCTCTATCCCTCTCCCTTCCTCTATGTAAAAAAATCAATAAAATATATATTTTTAAATTATATGCAGCTGAAACCGGTTTGGTTCAGTGGATAGAGCATCGGCCTGCAGACTGAGGGGTCCCGGGTTCGATTCCGGTCAGGGACATGTACCTTAGTTGCGGGCACGTCCCTAGTGGGGGGTGTGCAGGAGGCAGTTGATCGATGTTTCTCTCTCATTGATGTTTCTAACTCTCTATCCCTCTCTCTTCCGCTCTGTGATAAATCAATAAAATATGTTAAAATTATATGCACTGATTGAAAAGGTTTTAGTTATTTCAACTTAATTGATTCTCCATCAGGAATCAATTTAATATAACATAGTGATTAAGCATGGATGCTAATTGTGTTCAAATCCCAAGTTAATCACCTATTAGCTGTGTGACTGTAAGCAAGTTCCTTAATCTTTCTGTGCTCCGACTCCTCATCTGCAAAATGGAGATAATAAGAATACATACTAGATGGGATTATGGCAAAGATAGAATGAAATAACACATGTCCCCCACATAAGAAAGCTCAATGTAGCCCGGCAGGCGTAGCTCAGTTGTTGAACCAGGAGGTCACCGTTTGATAACCAGTCAGGGCTCATGCCCAGGTTGCAGGCTCCATCCCTAGTGTGAGGCATGCAGGAGGCAGCCGATCAATGATTCTCTCTCCTCATTGATGTTTCTAGGTCTCTCTCCCACTCCCTTTTTGAAATTAGTAAATAAATTAGTAAATATATATTTAAGAGGGGAAAAGGAAAATGGTCAATAAATACCAACAGTTACCATCACCGCCATCCTTCCATATTTGCTTCCCATTAGTAAGTGTAAGTGGACTTTGATTTCATTTCTTTTCCTCTCTTTACAGAACCTCCAACAAATTATGGTCTCCAGTCCATTCCAGCTACAAAAGCTGCAATGAAATGCCTCTAGTGGAGCCAAATTTAACCCCATTTATTTTTTCAGAAGATTTCCAAGAAACCAGATCAACTGCACCATCTAGGAAGTATGGCTAAGGAAGGCAAGTACAGCATACCTAGACTGAGCAGGGATAAACTATTTACACAAACAACATCACAACATGACAATGATTTGAGCTAACAGAAACCTAAGAGATCATCCAATGCACATGTCATCTTACAGATGAGAAAACTGAGACCAAGGTAAATGTCTAACTTAATAAACATACAGCATTAAAATGTTGTAATGACTTAACAATGACGGAGATGGCTAATATTATTAATTAGAGCTGACCAAAGTGCCAGGCACTCTGGTACTGGCACAAGAACAGACAAATAGATCACAGGAACAGAACAGAGAACCCAGGAATCGACCCAAGTCATTATGCTCAATTAATATCTGACAAAGGAGGCAAGAGCATACAATGGAGTCAAGACAGTCTCTTCAATAAATGGTGCTGGGAAAATTGGACAGATACATGCAAAAAAATGAAACTAGATCACCAACTTACACCATACACAAAAATAAACTCAAAATGGCTAAAGGACTTAAATGTAAGGTGGGAAACTATAAAAATCCTACAAGACTCCATAAGCAATATCTTTACAGACACAGCTCCTAGGGCAATGGAAACTAAGGAGAAAATAAACAAATAGGACTACATCAAAATAAAAAGCTCTGGACAGCAAAAGAAACCATCAACAAAACTACAAGAAAGCATGAGAGAACACACTTGCCAATGTTATCACCAATAAGGGTTTAATCTACAACATTTACAGGGAACTCATACAACTTAACAGGAGGAAGATGAATAATCCAATCAAAAAATGGTCGAAGGACCTAAATAGACACTTTTCATAAGGGGACATACAGAAGGCCAAGAGACATATGAAAACATGCTCAAAGTCATTAATGATCTCAGAGATGAAATCAAAATGACAATGAGGTACCATCTCACACCTGTCAGAAAAAGGAACCCTCGTGCACCGCTGGTGGGAATGCAGACTGGTGCAGCCACTGAGGAGAACAGTATGGAATTTCCTCAAAAAGTTAAAAAACAAACTCCGATTTGACCCAGTGATCCCCTTCTAGGAATATATCCCAAGAAACCAGAAACACCGATCAGAAAGGATATATGCACCCCTATGTTCACAGCAGCACAATTTACCATAGCTAAGATTTGAAAACAACCTAAGTGCCCATCAGCAGATGAGTGGATTAAAAAACTGTGGTACACCTACACAATGGAATAAATGGAATACTACACCGCTATAAAAAAGAAGGAACTTTTACCATTTGCAACAACATGGATGGACTAGAGAGCATTATGCTAAGCGAAATAAGCCAGTCGGAGAAAGATACATATCACATGATCTCACTCATTTGTGAGAGATATAATGATCAGCATCAACTGATGAACAAACATAGATTCAGAGACAAGTGGCAGGGGAGGTGGGGGAGTTAGAGAGCAACCAAAATGATTTGTATGCATCATGTTAGCATAACCAATGGACACAGACACTGGGGTGGTGGAGGCTTGCCCTGGGTACAAATGGCTGGGGGAAGGGATCAACCAGGGAAAAAGGAGACATATGTAAAACTTTAGACAATAAAAATAAAAAATAAATTTTAAATAAATAAATAAATAAATAAATAAATAAATAAAAATAAAGTGCCAGGCACTATTCTCAGTATTTTTAAAATATATATATTTTATTAACTTTTTACAGAGAAGAAGGGAGAGGGATAGAGAGCTGGAAACATCGATGACAGAGAAACATTGACCAGCTGCCTCCTGCACACCCCCCACCAGGATGTGCCCGCAACCAAGGTACATGCCCTTAACCGGAATCGAACCCAGGACCCCTCAGTCCGCAGGCCGACGCTCTATCCACTGAGCCAAACCGGTTTCGACTATTCTCAGTATTTAACGCGGGCTTGCTGAATCATCACAACCACCCCATGTAAAGGTACCAGAATCACCCCATTTTACAGAAGAGGGTTCTGCGGCCCGTCACCACAGCCGTGAGTGGTAGGCATGCAGGACCTGCAGCCAGACTCATGGGTCAGAATCCCTCTGCCACTGGCAACGCCTGCCCTGAAAGAGGAGAGGGAACGTGCAGGAGAGAAGGGAAGGGTCGTTCCAGGCCAGCCTGGAGTCCCACCCAGGACACCCTACCTTTAGTTTACCACTGGCCTCCTGAACTCTCCCTACCTAAGCCTCATTTTGTGGCTTTAGCCCACCGTACTATCCATTTAGTATTTATCAGAGAGCAAGGATCACAGGACCTGGTCAATTTAACTCTATTTCCCTGTTGGGTGGGCTGGGGGTTACTGAAAACAGTGTGGAGTTTAATTAAGCATCGTGAGGATAAATAAGTATGTAATTTGGCAGAACTACTTAACAAAATCAAAATAATTTAAGGCTCTACCAGTTTGGCTCAGTGGAGAGCGTGTTGGTCTGCAGACCAAAGAGTCCCAGGTTTGATTCTGGTCAAAGGCACCTGCCTGGGTTGAGGGCTCAATCCCCGGTGTGAGGCAGCCAATCATCAATGATTCTCTCTCACCATTGATGTTTCTCTCTCTCTCCCCCTTCCTCTCTGAAATCAATAAAAATATCTATAATAATAAAAGCATAATATGCTAATTAGACCAGACAGCCAATGGACCTTCCAGACAAAGCAGGGAATGTGAGGGCCAAGCCCCTTGCACGAATTTTGTGCTTTGGGCCTCCAGTATTTTTAAAAAATAAAAAAGATAATTAAAGGCTCTGTATCATCCAGTACAGAATTCATTAGCAGATGTCAAAAACCTTGATCCTCAACTTTTGTGTTCAACAGGTCTTTTGTTTTTTTTTCTTTTTTAAAACATATTTTTATTGATTTCTGTGAGTAAGGAAGAGGGAGAGAGACCTAGAAACACCAAAATGTACCAAGTTGGGAAATGCTAATATGTTAGATACGTTAAATATCTGGGCGGAAAGAAGTCAGGTTAGTGTTGACCTGTGCATGGGGTGGGGGAAGTGATTAGGGGAAATGAGGAGTTACTCCTCAGAGGTATGGGATTTCCTTTAGGGATAATGGAAATGCTCTGGAATTGACTGTGATGACCACACAACTTGTGAGCTGAACTGTAAACTAAAAACTACTGAACTGTTCTCTCACTCAAACAGGTGAATTGCATGGTATGTGAATATTTTAATAAAGCTGTTATTTAAAAAAAAAAAAAAAAAAACCTGCCCTTTTAAATATGTTAGTCTTATTGCTATGGCTTCTATCAATCCCTCCTATAATCAGCTAGTGTGCTTTAGGTGATCACATACAAGTGGAGTGTGACATGCAACATGGATTCTATTTTGAAGACTGGTTAACTGTTAGGAAGATTTCTGCATAGATTCATGATCCTTAAAATAAAAGACACCTAGCAAACATGCTAAGGACAATGTGACAACATACTCAGGGCAAGAAAAACAGCTTTTGTAGCAGTGACTCTGAGAAAGGGAAGGAGCACAGAACACACAGATGCAGTTCCCAGACTCTGACACATGTTTGAAAAGGGGCTGTCAGAACTCTCAGCGATACCTCCCCCTTCCTACTCCTGAGCGTTAATGTCCACGTGTGACAAGACAAATTTTCAAAGTGGAAAAGCAATTATTAGAGCCTGAGACTATCTATTTTTATATGTTGCTGAGGCAATTCAAATCTATTTTAATAAATTACACACAGTTAATTCCTATGTGAATGATCTAGGAGTTTTTAAATATTTAAATAATCTGAAATAAAAAAGGCATAATGAAATTAAAAATCTTAGGCAAACTTTCACTGACTTTAATATACTATGTAATTTGACTAAGAAATGGGAGCTCAAACTTTAACTATGAATGAACCTGATAAGAAAACTTCTCAGGTATATGATTAAGAAATCTGTCCTTGTATCATAAAAGTGACTAAAGTATTTTAATATAATTTCCTCCCCCTTTGACTTTTCAAGCAGAAAGTTTAAACTTTTGCTTTTGCTGAGTAAAATGTGAGACAAACATTTGAGCTTTCCAAAATTCAAGGAAACTTTACCAAATCAACTTTCTATTTTCTTTGTAAATTTCATATTAACCAAATTTTGACTCTGTCATCTCAATTCAAAACATTTTCTTAGTTTCCAACATAACTTAATTATTTGATCAATAGTTTAGCACTGCATTTAACATTTTTTCAAGCATTTTTTCTCGCCATTCTTTTGTTATTAACTTCTAAGTTTATTTGCACTGTGATCAGAGAACATTCTGGAGAATTCTAAACATCGTGAAATTTGTTGAAATCTCATTCAGAGCCAGCATATAATTAATTTTTGTAAATATTCTATGTGTGTTTCCAAAGAATAGTATCCTGTAGTTGGTAGGTATAATATTGTGCATATGTTAATAAAATCAAGTTTGTTCACTGTACTTTTCAAATCTATATATCCTTATTTATTTTTTGATTACTTGTTTTATTCATTACTAAGAGGGCTATGGAAACTGTCCCATTACAACAGTGGCTTTGTCTTTCCTTTGAGTTTTGGTGATTTTTTGCTTTATATATCTGGAGGCTACATTATTAAGTAAGTACAAATTAAAAATTATTAATTTTGAATTATACCTTTATCATTAGGAAGATACTTCTTTATGTCCTGTAATATCTATTGCCCTGAATTTTACTAACAGCTATTAATCTACACTAATAAAAGAGAAACATGCACATTGACCATCACTCCACTACACCACCAGCCAATCAGAGTGAGTATGCAAATTAACCCAACCAAGATGGCAGCGGCCACTGAGCTAGAGAGAGCAGAAGGCTTGGGTTACCTAGCAGGGCAAGAAAACCAGTTTTTGCAGCAGTGACTCTGAGAAAGGGAATGGAGGCAGCCAAGCTTCCCGCCCACCCTGGCCTGCCCTAGCCTCTGATCCAGGCTACAAAGTTTCAATTATAGAAGATAAATAAATCCCAGATACCAGGGCTTCTGCTTGGGTCACTAGGGGCATGGCCAGCCTGCAAACAAGCCCTCGCCCAGGCCACCCCACACCCCAAGGGAACCCCCACCCTGATCCAGGACACCCTTCAGGGAAAACCAGACGGCTCCCACCCATGCACCATGCCTCTATCCTACCTAATAAAAGAGTAATATGCAGATTGACCATCACTCCAATACACAAGATGGCTGCCCCCATGTGGTCAAAGATCCTGTCCCCATGTGGACACAAGATGGCCACCACAAGATGGCCAACAGGGGAGAGCAGTTGGGGGAGATCAAGCCTGCAGGGGAAGGCAGTTAGAGGTGACCAGGCCAGCAGAGGAGGGAAGTTGGGGGCAACTGGGCCTGCAGGGAAGGGCAGTTGGGGGAGGAACCCAGGCCTGCAGGAGAAGGCAGTTAGAGGTGACCAGGCCTGCAGGAGAGCAGTTAGGCATCAATCAGGCTGGCGGGGGAGTGGTTAGAGTGTAATCAGGCTGGCAGGCAGAAGCCGTTAGGGGCAATCAGGAATGCAGGTAAGGGAGTATTGGGAGCCAACAGTCCTGGATTGTGAGAGGGATGTCCCAGATTGAAGAGGGTGCAGGCTGGGCTGAGGGACACATCCCCACATGCACGAATTTCGTACACCAGGCCTCTAGTATAGCTATAAGATGTTCTGTTTTTATTTTAAAACTTTGCACTATATATCTTTTCATACATTTACATTTTTGCTCCCTTTTTAAAAAAATATATTTTATTTTTTACAGAGAGGAAGAGAGAGGGATAGAGAGTTAGAAACACTGATGAAAGAGAATCATCGATCAGCTGCCTCTTGCACACCCCCCATTGGGGATGTGCCTACAACCAAGGTACATGCCCTTGACCGGAATCGAACGTGGGACATTTCAGTCTGCAAGCCGACGCTCCATCCCTTGATAGAGCCAAACCGGTTTCGGCCATTTTTATCCTTTGAGAGTCCTTTTATATTCAATGTGTCTCTTTTATACATCAGAGTTATTTTTTATCCAGTTTGGAATTCTCAGTGATAACAAATGAAGATTTTAAAATAACATTTATCTTGCCCTGCCAGTGTGGCTCCGTGGTTGAGCATCAACCTATAAACCAGGAAGTCAAGGCTGGATTCCCAGTCAGAGCACATGCCTGGGTTGTGGGCTTGACTCCCAGTGGGAAGCATGCAGGAGGCAGCTGATCAATGATGATTCTCTCTCATCACTGATGTTTCTATCTCTCTCCCTTTCCCTTCCTCTCTGAAATCAAATATATTTTAAAAAATAAAATACACATTTATCTCAAAAGTTTTCTTTCATATAATATTTAAAAATCCATAGATATAGAAGCCCTCACCATTTTAAAAGTAGACAAGCAAAGAAAAATAAAAAACATCCTTACCAATTTTTCTGCTTCAGTGTTCATTTCCCTTAATTTCTTGATATGTTCCTTTTTAATCATGAGAATTTTGGATAATTTGGTCTACAGAGAAATAAGAGATGTTTTGGATCAAATAAAGGCATTGAAGTGTATCAGACATCAAATTTCCAATTTTTCACTAAGATATTTGAGCAGATTTAAGTGCTTCAATACAAACATAGCACAGGCGTCTGTAATAATAAAAGCGTAATATGCAAATCGATCAAACGACTGAACAGCAGAACAACCGTCTGGATGACCTTCTGGATGACCACGCTATGACACGTACTGGCGCCAGGCCACCCAAAGAGGGTGCGATGCAATTGGTCATGGGGCCCTGCCACTGTCCCACCATCACCCTCAAAGGGAGGCCCAGGCCACCCTCTGTGGGGCGATCAATGTGGGGGCTCCGCGATCGATCACCCCAAAGAGAGAGGCCCAGGCCACCAGCCAGGGATGCTGTGGGGGGTGCGGGGCCAGCCAGCCATCGCCCCGCCGAGGGAGGCCAGGCCAGCCATGTGATCACCCCCATGCCTATCACCCCAGAGGGAGGTGACCGGTGGTGGGGAAGTGGGGGCAGGGCGGGCAGAGCTGCACAGATGGCTGGCAGTGGCAGTGGCAGTGGCAGGGTGGGGCCAGCTGCCGAAAGCCAGGGAAGGAAAACCCCGATAGGCCCTGATCGCCGGCTAGGCCCCTAGGGACGCTACACGAGGGGTCCCGAGTTGGGAGAGGATGCAGGCCGGGCTAAGGGCCCCCTTCCCATGCACGAATTTCATGCACTGGGCCTCTAGTTTTACTTTATCAATCTGATTGGCTGACAGGAAAATATTATTTAAAATCCACTGCAACTAGGACACGTCAAAAGGACTAGATTCCAACGGAAAAAGCTTTCCCTAACCCAAAATGGGACAATTGGTGAACCACCAAGAGTGATAACTGCAAGCGATTAAAGCACAAATGTGTTCATATTAATATTTAAAAAACAAAACAAAAAAAAAACCACTGCTAATGAATGCTAGTGACTACACATATTATTTAAAAAAACGGGGGGAAAGAGAAAAATCAAGCATTTATCCTGCCTTTCCTATATAAACTATACCACTAGGTAACCAAATAATAGATTAGGGGAAATTTTTCTTTATAGAACTTTCAACTAATAACTGAAGAAGAAATAATGGAATGAGAATAGCACCATTTTACAATCCTAATGAATGGTGGATCTGGGCATTGATAAACAGAACCAGCTAACATTATATTTAAAAAGAGATAACATAGTATGAGTTTCCTCTCAGAATAAATAACTACCTACAGGAGTAGTAGCATAAAACAAGTAAACCAAATAAAAAAACAAATCTAATCAAAACTCTACATCCAATAAGCAATTTTCATGAAACGCAAAGACAGATCATGTTGAACGATACCAGCAAAGTCCAGTGGGAGCCGTGCTGGTGTTGCTCAGTGGTTAGAGCACTGGCCTGTGTATGGAAGGGTTGCATGTTCCATCCTTGCTGGGTGCACGGGGGAGGCAACCAGTCAATGTGTCCCTCTCACAGTGAAGTTTCTCTCTCTCTCCCCCTCCTTTCCACTCTCGGAAAATGAATGAAAAATATATCCTCAAAGGATATAAAAAAATAAAAACAGACTCTGGGAGACTCCATGGACAAATAAAGTGTATGGGGAAACAGAGCATCTAACATTTAAGGGACAACTGAAAAATTTAAATGCTGACTGGATATCTGATAGTAAGATATTTTAACTTTTTAGATGTAACAATGTTATAATTATGTTTCTTTTTATAAAAAGAGCCCTTACCTTTTAGAGACACATAATGAAATATTTACAGATAAATGCAATCTGGTATTTGCTTCCAAATAACACAAAAGGAAGTAAAGATGAAACAGTGTGGGCCAGGATTTTTTTTTTAATGTATTGATTGATATTAGCCAGGAGTTGTTGATAGCTGTTACAGCCAATGATGGGTAACAAAGAAGTACATTAAACAATTCCTTCTGCTTTTATGTGCTTTACATTTTTTATATAAAAAATTATTTTAGAGAAAGAGGGAGAGGGATAGAGAAATATCAGTGTGAGAGACTTAGATTGAATACCTCCCATATACGCTCCAACCAGGGATCGAACCCACAACCTGGGCATGTGCCTGAAGGGGAATCAAACCTATGACCCTTGGTGCATGGGACAATGCTCTAAGTAACCGAGACACAGGGACAGAGCTTGATATAAAAACTCTTAAACATCGGCAGAGGGATGATGAGGTACGTTACACATGTGCTCATGGGTCCAGAGCTCTGGACTGGTCTGCCGTCACCTCTAAGTTGCTGAGTTTTTATGGAAATGTGTATGATTTTAGGGAGTTAGAAGCATTAAAAAAGGGATGAAGGCACAGCATCTCTCCCCTTTTTTGTTTCAGTTTTGTACTGCTTATTTGTTCTTGATAGAAAATCACTTTGTTTCCTTTTAATGTTTTTCAAAACTGAGTTCTCTATAAGAAAGCAGATCAGGCCCAGCCAGAGTGGCTCAGTTGGTTGAGCATCTCAGTTGGTTGTTATCCAGTGCACCAAAAGGTTGCCAGTTCGATTCCCAGTCAGGGCATATTCCTGAGTTGTGGGTATGACCCCCATTCAGGGCAAATACGAAGGCAACTGATCAATGTTCTGCTCTCACATAGATGTTTTTTCTCTCTCTCCCTCTCCCTTCCTCTCTCTTCCTCTCTAAAACAAAACAAAAATCTCAAATAATAAATAAATAAATAAAAGTGGATCAGTCTTTTTAGATTCCTCTAAATCCCAAACCCCAGGAATAAAAAATTCCCTCAAAAAGAACATTCACTGTAAACTATGAATTATGAAACTTGCAAAAAAAAATTTTAATCTTGTTTATTTTGCCATAAAAATATTAGAAATAAATGAAAAACATATTCATATACTTCAAAATTTAATATTAATAAGAGTAAACCTGAGTTCATAAAACCTTACATATTACAAGACAAATACAAAACTCTTATTTTTACCTCTCAGATAGCTTAAAATATTAATGAAAGTAGTGTTTTAACTAGGTTTTAGACAGAGATTTTAGAGTTAAAAAAACTAAGCACTGAAACCAAACATCTAAGCACCAATAAAGTGTCAATATTTTAGAGGCACTGCAGTAGCGCTGTTTCTGGCTCCCACTGCTGGCTGATATTTCTCTCTCCCTAAATATGACACTCGCTTTATCACTATTTAAAGAAAATATGTCTTAAAAAAAAAAAAAAAAAAAAAAAAAAAAAAAGGGAGGGGGTAGGGGGGAACAGTATCCTATTTGTGAAAAGCATAAGCTTTGGCTCTTTTCACAATTTAAAATTTTTATATAAAAATATATTTCCCACCTTTGAAGCCAAAGGCATAATAAAATTCTATATTGATAGGAAATTTAATAGCATATGATTGAGAAATACAAAATGCTAAACACATGCACACAAATGACAAGACTTTTCCTTGAAATAACATCAGTAATTTAAGGGTAACACTGAATTGCAAAAGGTAACACTGAATTTTAAGGTAACACTGTTTTATAACAGAATATACATATAGTATATACAAACTTTTTTATTTATAAAGACTATCCTAAGCCAAAGTAGTTTTTCTTTTGAAAAAAAAAAACAAAAAAGGAACAAATCAATTATTATTAAACAATAACTCAAAGGAAATAATATATTTAACCTAATTTTCAAAACAAACGTCTCATTACATTCTTAGGAGGCTATTTGGGAAAAGTGTTCTATGTAATAACTCTGTACTTGTTTCAATTTAGGCTTAGATCTTAGTTGAGTAAATATTTCTAGTCTCAGAAAGAAAGTTCTTCCTAACCAAAAAGCTAGCCAACACATCTTAACTGTTGAGTTGACAAGATGCAGAGATGGTCAAATATACGCTTTATACTTATCCAAGTTATTAGCAGCTAACCACTCAAAGCTTCACAGAGGACAGGTGAGAATGGGGGAGTCCTTAACGCAACAAAATGTAAGAACCAAACCCAATAAAAGCCCCCAGAGACCTCTCAGTCTTTTATGGCTGTTATAAATCTTTATTTTTAAGCTTTGATGGAAATAATGAAGTTCTTAAAACAAATACAATGATAAAAAATAAAAATTTAAATATTTGGTCCTAGAAAAACTTTCAACTTCAATAACACAAAAGACACTGAGGTGTGTTTTTTTTAACAGAGTCAAGATATTAAGAAAAATTCTTACCACTTGAATAAGGAATTCTACTGGAAAACCACCCAATGTTTCAGTATCAGAGCCTGAAATCTTACTTCTCCAAGGTGACTGTCCTAATAAAGGATCATTATCCTATGGAAATAAAAAGGAATCATTTAACCACTTTTATCTATATAAAAGGCTAATATGCTAAGTGTCCTTCCCACCTTCCAACTGATCACTATCACGTGCACTGGCCACCAGGGGGCAGATGCTCAATGCAGGAGCTGCTGTGACACGCACAGAGAAACGGCACCACAGACTCGGCTTCCCCCAAGTGGAACACTGGCCCTGCCACCCCCCTGGGACAAAAGCCCACCAAATTGCAGCCGACGCTGTTGAGACCCCACATGTAAAATGCAGCCTGTAGCCCAGCCCAGCCCAGCCCAGAAACGGACACTGTGGTTGCCGGGTATATAGCAACACCCAGCTTCCTCTCCCTAGCAACTAGCCTACTTGGGAGTTCCAGGAACACACTACACTTTAACCAAATGTCTGTGTTTTCCCGTGCCTCATCTCATTTGATCCTCACAGAAGTCCTGGAGTGGGTAGATAGGAAACTCCGTAGAATTCTATTTTCATTTGTCAGAAAACGAAGATTTGAAAGCTTAGACCTTGACCCGACTGAAAAGAAGAAACTTGAAAATGACTTTAGGTTTTCTCCCTGCGCAGAATATAGTCAAACACTGCTGCAGTTACACATTTTATCCTTGGTTCTCCCTGCATGATCTACAATAACAATCTACTTCGTGTTGATATTTACCACTGTACTGCTGACAATTACCGAAAGAAAAGTTGGGGTGCTTCACTGGGCCGGAAAAAGTTTAGCTAAATCAGAGAGTAGGTCTAATTAAGCAAGTTTATTCTATATCTATAAAAAGCTACGTTGACTGGCACATGTGCAATACACACAAAGCTCTCGCTGGTGCCAATCGCACGTGTGTATTTCCATCTGTCATTGTCAATCGTGAATTTGGTTGACACTTCTATTATAGAGAAAGGGTAAATAGCGATATTAAAATATTTCTAATTAATTTCCTTTTAATATGCATAAATTCATGCACCAGGCCACTAGTATTTAGATAAAGAGTAAATTCTCTTATATTTAATATTGTATTAAAATGTCTACAAAAATATTTCCAGTTGAAGCCACTGTTTAACTTATTTTATTTAAAATCTGACAACTCAAAATAATGTGGGTCCCTCCTGAGGTTGCTGTAATAGATGCATATTTCATAAAAACATAGTTCACAGTGATAATAGTCATTTAAATTACTGATGACATTTTAAAACGTTACCGTAGTGGGTGCTGGGAGAAGAGGAGGATAATGCAACCGCGGTGGAGTCATAAAAAACCGAGAAGGCCGCTGTTTCTGTCCGAAGGCAGCGATGGGCATTGTCTCGTGAGGCTCATTGCTCTACAGGAGAAGAGAAGTCCGGAGACTTGTAGATTTTAGTCTCATACATATTCTTTCTGCATGACACACACTCGTGCAGAAATAAAAAGTTTTTCAGAGAACATATTATCCTACAAAGATCAAGGGCTAGAACTTAACGTCAGAGTATGAAAATACTATTTGACTTCCAAGAAAGTGAACCCACAAAACAAGAAGAATTAAGGAAAGAAAAAGGCACCGGGACCGGTTTGGCTCCGTGGATAGAGCGTCGGCTTGGGGACTGAAGAGCCCCGGGTTCGATTCCAGTCAAGGGCATGTACCTTGGTTGCAGGCACATCCCCAGTACGGGGTGTGCAAGAGGCAGCTGATTGATGACTCTCTCTCATTGATGTTTCTAACTCTCTAACTCTCTCCCTTCCTCTCTGTACAAAAATCAATAAAATATATATTTAAAAGGAAGAGAAAAGAAAAGAAAAAGGCCAAAAGGCCAAAACAGGATCAAAGATGCTGCCTGTGTGTTAAAGACAACCTAAATGTTACCTACTGCAATTACAGTGAACTCTCTGGCCAAAGAAAAATAGTTCTCATAAAGAAAATTACATTAATGAAGCAGAAACAAGTTTCCTTTATTGGAAAGGAAGGTTGACAGGTTTCATCCTCCAATGAAAAAACTTATGGTTGGTATACTTTCCTCTATAGCTAGTCCAAATTTTCATTCTCTCTTATTTGTCCTTTCTAAAAATTATGTTGGATAAGGAAACTCTCACAATAAATAGTCATAGTTTTTAAAATATCAGAAAAGGAAGATTCTTTTATTTTTGCACTAAGGAGATAAAGAAATTTTTATTTATTTATTTTTTTAAATATATTTTACTGATTTTTTTACAGAGAGGAAGAAAGAGGGATAAAGAGTTAGAAACATTGATGAGAGAGAAACATCGATCAGCTGCCTCTTGCATACCCCCTTCTGGGAATCGAACCTGGGACCTTTGAATCCGCAGGCCAGCATTCTATCCATTGAGCCAAACCTGTTAGGGCTATTTATTTTGCTTTTGTTGTTAATCCTCACCTGAGAGTATTTTATCCATTGATTCTTAAAGAAGTGTAAGGGAGCCGAGACCGGTTTGGCTCAATGGATAGAGCGTTGACTTGAGGACTGAAGGGTCCTGGGTTCGATTCCGGTCAAGGGCATGTACCTTGGTTGCGGGCATATCCCCAGTAGGGGGTGTGCAAGAGGCAGCTGGTCGATGACTCTCTCATCGATGTTTCTAACTCTCTATCTCTCTCCCTTTCTCTCTGTACAAAATCAAGAAAATATTAAAAAAAAAAAAAAAAAAAAAAGAAGAAGTATAAGGGAGCGGATGAGAGTGAGAGAGAAAAACATCAATGTGAGAGAGATATATCGGTAGGTTACATCCTGTACATGCCTAAGGGCCAGGGATCGAGCCCGCAACTAAGGTACATGCCCTTGACTGGAATTGAACCCGCAACCCTTCAGTCCACAGGCCAATACTCTAACCACAGACCCAAACCAGCTAGGGCTTTGGCAGAAATTTTGATTTTTAATTGTAGGCTCATAAACCTTAAAAGTCAAATTAAACAAAGAAATGTTTTAAAAAGGAGGCTAAAGGCTAACAATTAAATTTCCAAGATGCTTAGAGGCAAACTATATATATATTAAAAGGCTAAGCAGCCGAAACCGGTTTGGCTCAGTGGTAGAGCATCGGCCTGCGGACTGAACGGTCCCAGGTTCGATTCCGGTAAAGGGCATGTACCTTGGTTGCGGTCACAATCCCAATAGGGGGTGTGCAAGAGGCAGCTGATCGATTCTCTACCATCAACGTTTCTAGCTCTCTATCTCTCCCTTCCTCTCTATAAAAAGGTGGGTTAGACAGGTGGCTGGTGGGACGGGACTGGGTTAGACAGGCTGGACATTGCTTTTTTATTGTAAAAAAGCAATAAAATATATTTAAATAAATAAATAAATAAATAAATAAATAAATAAATAAATAAAATTATAAATAAATAAATAAATAAAAGGCTAAGCAGCTGTCTGACCAGCCAAGTAGGTCTGATGCGCACTGACCACCAGGGGGCAGACACTCAATGCAGGAGCTGACAAGCTGCGGTGACTTGGCAGAGGCAGTTCTCAGGTGATGCACCCCAGAACCAGTTAGGAGGGAGCCCGATTCTGGGGGGTGTTACCCGAGAAATGCCCTGTCGCAAACCGGGACCCCTCAGGGGATGTCAGAGAGCACGTCTTGGCCCAATCCCCGCAGGCCCGGCCAAGGGACCCAGCAGCCGGAGGGATGCCACTCACTCCGAAGATGCACTTTGAGTTACGTGCTGCCGCAGGTGCAGCCGCCTGGGAGGGACCGGAGGAGGCTGGCTCCAGGGCGTGTCCAGCCTGTCTAACCCAGTCCCATCCCGCCAGCCACCTTCTAATTAATCTCCTTTCAATATGCACAAATCCATGCACAGGGGCACCAGTTTTGTTTTAAAAAGTTTATTATTGCCCTGGTTGGTGTGGCTCACCCACATACCAAAAGATCATGGGTTCGATTTCCGATCAGGGTGAGCAGGTTCGATCCCTGGTTGGGGTGCATAGGGGAAGCAGCTGACTGATGCACGTTTCCCCCTCTCCCCCCTAAAAATCAATGAAAGCACATCCTTGAGTGAGGATTAAAAAAAATAAAGTTCATTATTGAGCCCTGGCCAGGTAGAGCTCAGTTGATTAGAGTGTTGATACACCAAAGTTGCAGGTTCAATCTCTAGTCAGGGCACATATAAGAAACAACTGATGAATGCATAAATAAGTGGAACAAATTGTTTCTCTCTTTCTCAAATCAATCAATAAAATTTTTTTAAAGTTCATTATTCACTTTTTTAAAAAATATATTTTATTGATTTTTCAGAGAGGAAGAGAGAGGGATAGAGAGTTAGAAACATCTATGATCGATGATGAGAGAGAATCATCGATCAGCTGCCTCTTGCACACCCCCTACTGGGGATGTGCCCACAACCAAGGTACATGCCCCTGACCGGAATCGAACCTGGAACCTTTCAGTCCACAGGCCGACGCTCTATCCACTGAGCCAAACCGGTTTCGGCTCATTATTCACTTTTTAAAAGCTTTGCTCGATTGTAGAGATTTATTAATTAAAATTATTTTACCTTATTAGAAAGGTGTATAATTTTCATGACATGATTAAATCAAGTATGACCATGAAATAATGGCCCAGTAGTTCAGTGGACTAGATCAGAAACTCAGAAGATCTGAATTCTACTCTCAGCCCGTCAGGAAGCCAGCTCTAGAGCCTTGACTGCATTACTTTCCGTGATTTGCAGTTACTAATGTCTCAGTAATCATGCACAGAGTGGGAGTAACTAACACCTACCCTATATAATGCTGGAGATAAATAGGAGAACAAATTTTAAGGTGAAAGATGTTACCTCAGACTTTAAAAATCATTTTGCAAGATTTTATCGGCCTTTTTTAGGATACTGTTGAATAACCTTATAACTGTAGTTTTGAACTCAATGTCCAATCTTTCTTTTCTTTTCCTCCATCTCCTTCCTTTGTGTCCTTCCTCTTGTCTGCATTTTAGTTGTTTCCCTGATTTGATGGAATAGCTTTGTGTGCTAGGTGTTCTGGTAGAGCCCAGTAGCACAGCCTTCCCAGTTACCTGCGGTGGGCAGTCTTGGTATAGTCCTTTGTGGGCTGTGTGTGCAGTCTTGTTGTTAAGCCTTGCTTATCGTTGGTCTCACTGGGATACCAACAATACAACTGAAACAAAAGTGTTGTAGAGCTTATTCTAGTCAGAAGTGACGAGTTGTGTTCCACGGAAGTGCTATGTGGGTAAGGTACAATACAGAAATGGCAGAGTCTCGGCAATGTGAATGCTTAAGCACAGTCTGTCCTGGGGGTCCCACAGGCCGGGCCTGGAACCCTAAGGACCTTTTCCTCGGTGACCTGAAATCGATTATATCATACAGCACCATCTCTAAGAAAAGTCTACATAATGTACTTAATATGCACGACATACAAATCTGTTATGAAATACTCACAAGAACTTCATAGTCAGGGATAGTGTGGGTTCCCAGTCCTGACCTGTCAAAAGTGACTCTGTACGTAGCATTACACGTATCCACAGCATCTATCTGCCCGGTGAACAGACCATCATGAACGCCACGTAATCGTGCTGAGAAAAGAACCACAGCAGACATTACGTTTGGAAGATACAAAGAACTGTCAAATCTGAAACTGCTCCAAGCATGTCATTTGAAACGTAGAAAGAACAGTATTGTTGTCTTATAGTTTCAAAAAAATGTACGCAATTTTTCAGTTTGAAGAAACAAACAAAAAAAATGTTTGAAACAATAAACTATAAATGATGATCCCTATTTTGATTTATGAATGAAACCACATATCTACCAACCTAAAAACAAAAGATTTTTATTTTTATTTATTTATTTTTTGTTCTTTTTTTAAATATATCTTATTGATTTTTTTTTACAGAGAGGAAGGGAGAGAGATAGGTACATGCCCTTGACCGGAATCAAACCTGGGACCCTTCAGTCCGCAGACCGACGCTCTACCACTGAGCCAAACCAGCTTCGGCAAAAAACAAAAGATTTTTAAATGATGGCTTTAAACTCTGAATTGAAAAAAAAGAAAAAGGGAGAAACCAAGATGGCAGCATAGGGTAGACACCCGAATGCAGCCTACCACAACAAATTTGAATTTAGAACTGGAAAACAGGGGAGGCATTGCCCTGAAACGCAGGACGGCTGGCAGAGAGGAGGCTCTGCCATCTGGGAAGGAGAGAGAAGGCACGCTGAACCTCAGGAACTGTGAAGGTACGGAAAACTGTGCACGCGAAAAGGCACTGGCTTACTCCCGGCGCAGAGAGGGAGGGCCGGACTGAGATTGCTGCTGGCTTACTCCCAGCGCGCAGAGAGGGCGGACAGCTAACACTTGGCTGGCTTTCTTATTCGACAGGAAAACAGAATCAGCCTATTGCTCTGATAGACAGCCCCAGACAGGGAGAGGCCAGACTGTCAGGCAGTGGGCAGAGATCTTTCAGAGGTGTGTGAAGCCAGAGGCCATTACTGTGGGACCTGAAGAGGAGCCAAAGGGAAAACAATGCTTGTCTGCACCATCCCGAGACTCCGCCCCATCAGTAGCTGAGCACAGAAGCTCTCCCAGAGGCTGGCGTTCTTTAAGGAGGGACTGGCAGGAACCCAAAGCTTGTCTGCGCCTTTACCAAAGAGGTGCGCGCGCCTGCAACCAATCTTCCGAAACTCTCCATCAACAGGACTTTTCTAAGGCAAGACTGACAGGGAACCAAAGATTGTCTGCGCCACCCCGAGACCCCGCCCTATCCAAGCGGAGTACAGAAGCCGTCCTAGCTGAGACACTGCTGATCCTCACAGCCAATTGGCTTGGAGATCAACGCTTCCCAGTGATATCAACAATAAGCAAGGCTTAACGACAAGACTGCACACACAGCCCACAAAGGGCTACACCAAGACTGTCCACCGCAGGTAACAGGGAAGGCTGTGCTACTGGGCTCTATCAGAACACCTAGCACACAAAGCTATTCCATAAAATCAGGGAAACAACTAAAATGCAGACAAGAGGAAGGACACAAAGGAAGGAGATGGAGGGGGAAAAAAGATTGGACATTGAGTTCAAAATTACAGTTATAAGGTTATTCAACAATATCCTAAAAAAGGCCAATAAAATAAATGAGACCTATGAGGATATGAAAAGGGAGCAACTAGAAATAATGAGGGATCAACTAGAAATGAAGAAAACATTGTCTGAAATAAGAAATATTATACAAAGTCCTAAGAACAGACTGGAAGATCATAAGAATCAAGACTAAGATTTAGAACACAAAGACCCAGAGAACACTCCTCTGCAGAAGGGAGAAGATAAGAGAATCCAGAAAGTTGAAGATAGTGTAAGAAACCTCTGGGGCAATTTCAAGCGAACAAACATCAGAATTATGGGTATTCCAGAAGAAGAGAGAGAGCAAGATACCGAAAGAATACTGGAAGAAATAGTGACAGAAAACTTCCCCTACCTGGGGAAAGAAATAGACTTACAAGTCCAGGAAGCCCGCAGAACACCAAACAAAAGGAATCCAAGGAGGACGACACCAAGACACATCATAATTAAAATTCCAAGAGAAAAAGACAAAGAGAGAATATTAAAAGCAGCAAGAGAAAAGCAGGTAGTTACCTATAAAGGAACACCCATACAATTGTCAGCTGATTTCTCAACAGAAACCATGCAGGCCAGACGGGAATGGCAAGAAATATTCAAGGTGATGAATAGCAAGAACCTACAGCCAAAAATAAGATTATCACTTATCAGCAAAGCTATCACTCAGAATTAAAGGACAGATAAAGAGCTTCACAAATTTAAAAAAAGCTAAAAGAGTTCATCATCACCAAACCAGAATTATATGAATTGCTGAAGGGGGTTATTTAGGAAGAGGAAGAAGATAAAGATAAAAATTATGATCAACAAATACGTAACTATCAACAAGTGAATCTAAAAAACAAGGGAATTAAAAAATCTGATGAACAATATTAACTGGTGAATATAATAGAATCAGAGGCATGGAAGGGGAGTGGACTGACGATTCTCGGGGAAAAGGGGAGTGGGGGTGTGGGAAGAGACTGAACAAAAATGTGCACCTATGGATGAGGACAATTGGGGGGGGAAAGGACAGAGGGTGGGGTGGGAACCTGGTGGAGGGGAGCAATTGGGGGTGGGGAAGAGGATCACATTTGTAATAATCTGAACAATAAATATTATTTTTTTTAAAAGAAAGAAAAAAAAGAAAAGTCGACAAAAGAACTTTAGTTATTATACTAATGAACGAAACAACAGGTAGAGTTCAACTTTAAAAAAAAAGAAAAAGAAAAAAAGACATGGGATGCTGTGAAGACTGAATATTCTAGGCCTGAGACTGCTGTCCTTGGGAAGGCCTGACTGCAAGACTGGCATCCACGAACTTAAATTCCCAGAGTGTCCTCTACTAATAAAAGTGGGTCCTGTGCCCAGCACGTTTGTAAACAAGATGTGATGTGTGACTCCTTTGGGAGTCTGGAACTCCAGTATGTGTATGCAAGAGTGCCCACATGACCTGCCCCCATAAAACTGGGCACAGAACCTAGCGAGAGCCTCACGTGCTGTTACACCTGCCGTTGGAGGGACCGGTGAGTCTGTGTGACACCACAGAAGGGGCTCTTGGAAGCTGGCAGTCGTTTCCTCTGGACTCGCCCAATGCACCTTCCCCTTCTCGAACTTTGCTCTGTTTCCTCTCTGCAATAAGCCGAGACCCTGCATGCTGACACTCTGACTTTCCAATGACTACCAGCTCCGGGCAGTGTCGGGGACCCCTCACACGGATGCATTTTTGTGTTACTATTATTTAAACCCAATTTGAAATAACACCAAGGAAAATCCAAGGAAACAACCATTTTTTACTCGTTTTCTTTTGAGTGAAAAATAGAAAAATGACGTAAGGCAAAGTGAGCCCTGGGCATGTGCCCGCAACCAAGGCACATGCCCTTGACCAAATTGAACCTGGGACCTTCCACTCCACAGGCCAACGCTCTATCCACTGAGCCAAACGGTTTTGGCTAGTTTACCAGATTCCTGAAGATTAATTTAAACTTGGTTTTGGCGGTACTTTCTCTCCCAAGACTCTCTCCCAGTTATAACTGAAGAATATACAGAATCACATCTATAAATTGACAAAATTTATACTCTTACAAAACTTTGAGCAAACTCCATAGTGAATAATTTAGTTTTATTAAATCACTAGAGGCCTGGTGCATGAAATTCATGCACTGAAACGGGGAGAGGATCCCTCAGCCCAGCCTGTGCCTTCTCATAGTCCAGGATCCCCGCTATTGATCACCCCAAAGAGGTAGGCCCTTGCCCACCCAGCAGGAGCTCCACATGAGTCACCCCTGAAGAGGGAAGTCCCACACATCCACTGTAGTGCCACTGTGGGGTAGCCTGGGCCTCCCTCCTTGGGCCAATTGATTGCACCCTGCCCACCAGCCACAGCCCACTGGTCCCAATGACTACCAGCTCGGGACAGTGTCGGGGACCTGGGCCTGGGCCTCCCTTTTTGGGGTGATTGTGGAACCCCTCAATTGACTGATTGCCCCACTGGCCCAGCCGATGGCCTGGGCCTCCCTCTGCAGGGTGATCACGGGGCAATAGCCAGGCCCTCAACCAATCGCATCGCACCTGCCTTGGCTGGCCTGGCGCCAGTGGATGTCATAGCATGATGGTCCAAAAGGTCGTCTAGAAGGACATCCGGCCATCCAGTCTAAGTAGCATATTACGCTTTTCTTATTATAGATTAGAAATGGACTATGTATAGACCCACGGGTCATAGAACAATGGTGTTTGTAGATTACACAGAAAAGACTGCTTTAAAAAGGAAAAAAAAATAGAATATTGCTTTAGAACTGCAGCTTAAGCTTTCTAAATTTAAAAGTCATTTATCTAATTGGAGCTTATTTTGGAGAAAAATTAAAAGTCAAGGTATTAGTAAGCTTGTCTTCACTAACCTGTAACTTTGGTTCCAATGACCAGGGGCAGAGGAATCTCATCTGGGAGATCTTTAAATTGTGAAAGATCCGCCACTTTCCTTTGCTGCAAGAGCCGGATTTTCTGCCGTTTCTGTTTTAATGCTGATCTTTCTTCCTCAAAAAATGCAGAAGAACATCTAGAATAAATTATAAAAATAACAAAATAACTACCCTACACAAAGCTTCAAATCAGACCATCCATTTCAATGTTCTCTGTCTCACTCTCATTCTTGAGTCCTGTATTTAAAATGGGTTTATAGAAGTAATAATTTCGTTTCAAACATCTTATTAAAAACTCAAAGATATATAAATAACTCTAGATTATTCCTTCCTACAAGCAGAAGAATGTGTTCACATCCTTTGACAAAACTGTAGCTGCATCCCAAGTCTTCTCTTAAGGAAAAAGTTCAATTTTAATATTCTGTTAAGAAGAGCACGACCTTTCCCCTGTCACCCAGTGAGCCTACTAAAACAGGAATTAAAAATTAGACGTGCCTGTGTAAATGTTTAAAAAGTTCACTTGTTCTTCCTGCTTTGAAGTATGAATACTAAATTTAGTCTTATCTTAGGGCCTGTCTTACTTATATTTTCAAATTCTGTGAAAAACCAAAGGTATTTAAACATAGATTTCATGCCACAAGATATACATCCATAAGCCATCATCAGTGGAGATAATAAAGTATGAAGACACTGGTTACCATCCGGCTTCCTTGTGCCACTTTACCATCCTTATTGTGCATCCTCCTACCTCCTCCTACTTTCATTCACCCTTCCCAGGCGATCACTGAGTGCTTTCCATCATTATCATTTCTCTCTTCTAAAGTCTTACATAAATGGAATCATCTAGTATGTACTCTTTTGTCAGACTCGTTTCACTTAGCATAGTTATTCTAAGATCCATCCATGTTGTCATGTATCAGTGGTCCCTTCCTTTTTACTGGAAAACAGTGCTCTATTCTATGGATGCATCACATTTTGTTTATCTGTTCTCCTGTTGGCGCATGTTTGGGTTGTTTCCAGTTCAGAGCTATTACAACAAAGCTGATACAAACATCTGTGTATAGGTTTTTGTATATTAACATATACTTTCATTTCTCTTACGTGAATATGCAGGAGTGAAATGGTTGGGTTACATGGCCAGTGTGTGTTCAAACTTTTAAGAAAACAAGTATCACCGAAGAAGAAATATAGATGGCAAGTGAACATACAAAAAGACGTCACCAGAGAAACGCAAAGGAAAGGAGATGCCACTACATAGCTATTAGGATGCCAAACCCACACGCTGACACCAGTGCCGGCCACGGAGCAGCGCGGCTCTCCCTCACTGCTGGCGGGAAAGCAAAATGGTGCGGCCGCTCTGGGAGACAATTCATTTGTTTCTTATAAAACTAAACATACTCTTACCACGTGATCCAGCAATCACACGCCCTGGTATTTACACACATGAGCTGAAAACTTAGGTCCTCACTGAAATCCGCACATGGATGGTTATAGCAGCTTTTTTCCTAACCATCAAAACTTGGGGCAATGAGGTGTCCTTCAGTAGCGAATGGTAAACATCTAGATAACAAAGTATTGTTCATGGCCAAAAGAATGTGCTACCAAAGCCATGAGTTACCAAGTGAAAGAAGCCAGTCTGAAAGGCTACATACGCTATGATGCTCATATAAAATGCAGAACAAGGGTGGTGATAAGAAGGTCAGTGCTGCCAGGATTGGATGGGGGAGGGAGGGATGGACAGGTGCAGCAGTGACTCACTTTTATGCTGCTAATGGTGGGTATATGTCCTTACATATTCCTCAAAGCCCAAAGGACGTACACCCTAATGCAAACTACGGACTATGGATGGTTATGATGTGTTGATGTAGGTTCACCAATTGTCATACATGTACCCGTGTTGCAGGATGTTGATCACTGTGAAGGCTATGCCTGTGCGGAGACAAGGGGGTTGTGGGAAATCTCTACACCTTCCTCTCAATTTTGTTGTAAACCTAAATCAATGCAGTAATGACACTCCCAACATAGTGATTTTACTTTAAACAAAACATTATTACCTCCGTGGTTTTCCCATTAGCCGTCTGATTTTTCCCCATTCTACTCTTGTTAACTTTCTTGTTTTCAAATTAGGAAAAGATTCCTTTAGACATACACAGAAATCATTATCACCTTCAAAGAGCGGTCTACAAAATAGAAATGGTATTTTAATGGTTAATACACAATGGGTTACTTAAGAGATAAAAATTTAAATATGCATTTCAATTTTCAACATCAAACTAATCACAAAATGCAAACTTTTACACAAAATATATACACATCAGATACACAGTCAAAGGGCTAAAACTACATTAAATTCTTGACTTTTGTGGAACAAACAATGTGTAAGAGGCCTAGCAGACACTGATGTTGTCCAATGTCCTACAGGAGCATACCCTCGGGGCTACCCTGGCTCTGGCACTGCGCCTGGCGAGGCTAAGCAACGTTAGCTACAAAGTGTCTGTCCCAAAAGTGTCACCATCATCAAGGAGTCCTCTTTGAGAATAAATCTGTTTTAGAAAACTGGAGCACTCCAGAAAGTTAGAATGGAATTCAAGGACTCAGATCACACTCTGACACCCTCAGAGCCTGCTTATATACCTATGGAAAAATCTGTGGACAGCCGAGACCGGTTTGGCTCAATGGATAGAACGTCGGCTTGGGGACTGTAAAGGTCCTGGGTTCGATTCCGGTCAAGGGCATGTACCTTGGTTGTGGGCATATCCCCAGTAGGGGGTGTGCAAGAGGCAGCTGGTCGATGACTCTCTCTCATCGATGTTTCTAACTCTCTATCTCTCTCCCTTCCTCTCTGTACAAAATAATAAAATATATTTTTTAAAAAAAATCTGTGGACAAAAATAATTCTATTTGTGGGTTTGGGAAATCAAGAACCAGTAATGGTATGCGAAGACCTTGGGCTCTGGCCGGTGTGGCTCAGTCTGGGCACATGCCTGGGTTTGTGAGCCTGATTCCCAGTAGGTGGCATGCAGGAGACAGCTAACTGATGATTCTCCTCACATCAATGTTTCTTTTTCTCTCACCCTCTTCCTTCCTCTCTAACAATCAATAAAAAAATATTTTTTTTAAAAAAAAGTCTTGGGCTTAAATATGAACATTCATGAGATTCACCGGATGCAGAGCAGGCAACTGGCTTGGGAATTAGAAGTAAAGATAAGTAGCCAGCAAAGCACCACCAGTAACTGGCAGGGAATACAATATGATGGATGAGAAATCATCAGTAAATACTGTTACTGAATAGATTTCACCCAAATTTCTTAATGTTTTATTTAAACATTTATGTGTCACTAAAGTACATACGTACCGCCAAATAAGAAAGACTATATGTCTAAAAATCTTATTGAATCAATATTTCTCTATTATTACACTAGCACTTAAAATTTGAGAATTTATAAAACAAGTCCCATTCATTGCAAATAATGGTTCTTTGTATCAGTCTTTATGAATTACAATATAAAAATTATACTTTCATTTTATTTTACACTAAAATGTATAACTTCTTCCTCAAAAGGGGATAAAAACTATGAGAAATGGAAATGAATCAAACCAGAAAAAAGAACTGAAAAAGAAATTTAGGACAAAATAGGATCAAAATGGACCTACAGGAAATGTTATAGCTTTTAATGTTTGAAAAACTTAAATTTTTGATTCCAGTAATATTCATGATCTAATTCATGATACTCACTTATCTATATTTGAGTAGAACCACTCGTATATGCACCATTTATGTGCTTTGGGAAGCTTGAGTAGGTTACGTAATCGAAAACCAATCTTTTGTGAGGCTTTCTTATCTGGTGTTGACATTGTTGCTGTAAATTTCTATACAATAAAAAAACAGAGATCAATTACATTTCCATTAAGTAAAATGAGCATCTATAATATTGAATACATTTGTAAAAAGCTTGTAGGTAAGTACTCAAAAAGACTCAACAATATGCAACATGAAATTATTGTTATTATTTAATAAGCATTCTAATTAATTCTAACAAGGTTAATTAAAGCCTCTGGTTTCATAACATTCTGACAAAGAAGGTGAACTATGTGTCCCCATAGTTTGCACTGCAGTACAATTTCAATTAAGGCAAGCAGGAAAAAGACGCTTGTGAGAAATAGTCCTAGAGATCTCGGGCCAGAAAAGCCCAGTAAGAGAACTCTGTCACTCTTGAGAGTCAGAGAGAAAACATACAAGCAAGCGCGAGGCCCAGATGATTTCCAGTGAATTCTTATTAAACCAGGGCTCCAATGCTATTAAATTGTTTCAAATCACTGAAGAAGAAAAAAATAAAGACAACGTACATAGATAATAAAATGTGCTCACATATAATAAAAGTAAACCTCAGAAAACATCACTTCTTTCTGTGAAATTTAAAAACACTTGGAAAGCCGAAACCAGTTTGGAAAGCGTCGGCCTGCAGAATGCAAGGTCCCAGGTTCAATTCTGGTCAAGGGCATGTACCTTGGTTGTAGGCACATCCCCAGTAGGGGGTATGCAGGAGGCAGCTAATCGATGTTTCTCTCTCATCGATGTTTCTAACTCTCTATCCCTCTCCCTTCCTCTCTGGGGAAAAAATAAAAATAAATAAATAAATAAATAAATAAATAAATAAATAAATAAATAAAATATATTAAAAAACAAAAAATGGGCACAGGCCCTAACAGGTTTGGCTCAATGGGTAGAGTATCGGCCTGCAAACTCAAGAGTCTCAAATTCGATTCCAGGCAAGGGCATGTACCTTGGTTGTGGGCACATACCCAGTAAGGAGTGTGCAGGAGGCAACTGATCAATGTTTCTCTCTCATCAATGTTTCTAGCTCTCTATCCCTTCCCCTTCCTCTCTGTAAAAATCAATAACACATATATATACATATATGTGTGTGGGTGTGTGTGTGTGTGTGTGTATATATATATATATATATGTATATATATATATATAATTTTATTTATTTTTTTTTTAAATGAGCACAGGATTACATAGACATTTTTCCAAAGACATACGATGGCTGACAGGTACCCGAAAAGATGCTCCACATCACTAACCACCAGGGAAATGCAAACCAAAGCACAATGAGCCCAGTTGGTTTGGCTCAGTGGATAGAGCCTTTGGACTTAAGGGTCCTGGGTTCAATTCCAGCCAAGGGCACATGCCCAGGTTGCAGGCTCTAGCCCTGGTAGGGGAGGCAGCCAATCGATGATTCTCTCTCATAACTGATGTTTCAATCTCTCTCTCCCTTCCTCTCTGAAATCGATAAAAATATATATATGTAAAATAAAGCACAGTGAAATCTCACCTTACACCTGTTAGAACAGTTATTGTTAAAGAAATAACAAGCGTCGGTGAGGATATGGAAAAAAGGGAGCCATTGTGCACCATTGGTGGGAACGTACATTGGTGCAGCCACTATGGAAAACAACATGGAGGTTCCTCAAATAATAACCAAATGACCGTATGATCTAGCAATTCCATTGCTGGCCATTTATCAGACGAAAAGATATATACCCCCTTTTTATTAACCAATGTCATCCCAATGAATTTAATAATAAAAAGAAAAGATATACCCCTCTGTTCATTGTAGTATTATTTACAATAGCCAAGACAAGGAAGCAACCTAAGTGTCCATCAATGGATAAAAGAATAAAGAGCTGCCGAAAGCGGATTGGCTCAGTGGATAGAGCATCAGCCTGCGGACTGAAAGGTCCTGGGTTCGATTCCGATCAAGGGCATGTACGTTGGTTGTGGGCACATCCCCAGTAGGGGGTATGCAAGATGCAGCTGATCGGTGAGATGTTTCTAACTCTCCATCCCTCTCTCTTCCTCTCTGTAAAAAATCAATAAAATGTATTTTTTAAAATATTTTTTTAAAAATAAAGAAAATGCGCCGGGACCGGTTTGGCTCAATGGATAGAGCGTCGGCTTGGGGACTGAAGGGTCCCGGGTTCGATTCCGGTCAAGGGCATGTACCTTAGTTGCGGGCATATCCCCGGTGGGGGGTGTGCAAGAGGCAGCTGATCGATGATGACTCTCTCTCATCGATGTTTCTAACTCTCTATCTCTCTCCCTTCCTCTCTGTATAAAATCAATAAAATATATAAAAAAAATAAAATAAAATATAAAAATAAAGAAAATGTGATACACAGATACACACACACTCACACACACATGAATATTATTCAGCTATAAAAAAGAACTCTTGCTATTTGTGGCAACATGGATGGAATTTGAGAGTATTATGTTAAGTGAAATATATTAGACAAAGAAAGACAAATACCATATGATCTCACTTATATGTATAATCTAAACCAAACAAACAAAAACAAGTCCAAATTCATAGATACAGAGAACAGATTGGTTGCCACAGATAGGAGATGGGAAATGGGCCAAATAGGTCAAAAGGCAGAAACTTCCAGTTACAAAATTAGGTATTAGTCATAGGGATGGGACACAAAGTATACGGGCTATAGTTAATACAGTATTGTATATTTAAAGGTTGCTAAGAGATTTTAAAAGGTCTTATAATAAGAAAAAAATGTTACTGTGGTGACAAATGTTAATCACTTATTATGGCAATGATTTTGCAATATATACAAATATCAATCATTATATTGTACACCTGAAAGTAATATAATTATTTGTCATTATATCTCAATTTTTAAAAAGCTTAAAAAAACACCATCAGAACATCAAAAGAATACAGCACGACCAACTGAAATTTATGTCAAAAATGCAAAGATTATAAACAAACATACAAAACAAAATGCAAGGAGAGTCCAGTATTAAGAAACTGTTAATATAACTTGCCATTGTTTATAAATCAAAACAATAAAACTCTTACGATCACCTTCACTGATGCTAAAGACATTGACAAAATTCAATATGCATTAAAATAATTCTTAATAGAACAGAAATAGAGGAAACCACTGAAAAAATACAGTAGGCTAAAAGTTAAATGATACACCTAAAGTAATGCTTGGAGGGAAATCTACAGGGTAAATGCCTATATTAGAAAAGAAAGATCTCAAATATACAACCCACCTTTCCACTTTAAGAAACTAGAAAAGGCTGAGACCAGTGTGGCTCAGTGGATAGAGCATCGGCTTGGGGACTGAAGGGTCCTGGGTTCGATTCCGGTCAAGGGCACGTACCTTGGTGGCGGGCATATCCCCAGTGGGGGGTGTGCAAGAGGCAGCTGATCGATGACTCTCTATCATCGATGTTTCTAACTCTCTATCTCTCTCACTTCTTCTCTGTACAAAATCAATAAAATATATATATAAAAAAAGAAACTAGAAAAGAAGAAATAATACCCAAAGCAAGCAGAAGAAAAAAATGATCAAGATTAGAACAGAAATAAATGAAATAAAAAACAGAAAAACAATAGAAAAAAATGTTGATGAAACCAAAAGTTCTTTGAAAAGATCAACAAAATTGACAAGCCTTTCCTGGCTGGGCAGCTCAGCTGGTTAGAGCTTCTTCCTCACCGAGGCTGAGAGTGTGACCCCCAGCCAGGGCACATACAAGATGTACCAATGATGCATCAATGAGTGGAACAACAAGTCATGTTTCTCTCTCTCACATCAATGACATAATGACTGACGGCCCCGGCCAGTGTGGCCTGGTTGGTTGGAGCATTGTCCCATGCACCAAAGGGTCACAGGTTCCATTCCCAGTCAGGTATGCATTGATGTTTCCCTTTCTCTCTTTCTCTCTCTGTCTCTGTCTCTCTCCCTCTTTCCCATTTTCTCTTGAAATCAATGAAAGCATATCCTCAGGTGAGAATTAAAGAAAAAATTGACAAACCTTTATCTGGACTGACCAAGAAAATAAAAACAACAGATACTTTAATCTATACAACACATTTCTCTCCATTCCAATGCAAAGGTCAGTATTCAATGTTTAAATATTAAAAGCATTGTCATTAAAGTGAGAAATATGTCAAAGATGTTAACTGTCACCACTTTTTAACTTTGTTTTGATGGAATTAGCCAATTAGATAAGAAAACTGTAAAGAGAAGACAAAACTACCATTATTTGTAGATAATATGACTAACCCCAAAACTCAAGAAAATCAACTGTAACTGTTAAAACTAATAAGATAATAGCCAAAACCGGTTTGGCTCAGTGGATAGAGCGTTAGCCTGTGGACTGAAAGGTCCCGGGTTCGATTCCGGTCAAGGGTATGTATCTTGGTTGAGGGCACATCCCCAGTAGGGGGTGAGCAAGAGGCAGCTGATCGATGAATCTCATCGGTGTTTCTAATTCTATATCCCTTTCTCTTCCTCTCTATAAAAAAATCAATAAAATATATTTTAAAATAATAAGATAATTTAATAATGTGGATGAATACAAGTTGATATAAAAATAACTTTAAAAAGTCACACTGAGACCGGTTTGGCTCAATGGATAGAACGTTGGCTTGGGGACTGAAGGGTCCCGGGTTCGATTCCGGTCAAGGGCATGTACCTTGGTTGCGGGCATATCCCCAGTAAGGGGTGTGCAAGAGGCAGCTGATTGATGTCTCTCTCTCATCGATGTTTCTAGATTTCTATCCCTCTCTCTTTCTCTCTGTAAAAAATCAATAAAATATTTTTTTTAAAGTCACTCTCTTTTTCTGATAATAATTTATAGTAAGTTGGTTATTATTTATGCTTAACAACTCCCAACATAGAGAGAGAGAGATAGAAACAAGGGATCTTTAATATAGTTTTACTATATCCAACGAGCCATTTAAAAATCTGGGTCAGCCGAAACTGGTTTGGCTCAGTGGATAGAGCATCGGCCTGCGAACTGAAAGATCCCAGGTTCGATTCCAGTCAAGGGCATGTACCTTGGTTGAGGGCATGTCCCCAGTAGGGGGTGTGCAAGAGGCAGCTGATTGATGACTCTTTCTCATCGATGTTTCTAACTATCTCTCTCCCTTCCTCTCTGTAAAAAGTCAATAAAAATATATTTTAAAAAAAAATCTAGGTCAGTAACTCAAAGAAAAGAAAAAAGCAGAAATTGGAGAGAATTCTTATTAGTTTGTAAAAATTTTGTATATATTAAGAATATTAGCCTTTGGGCTGTTTATATTGGCTGTACTTTGCTTCAGAGTTTGTAGGATTACTTTTTTCTAGTTTTTTCACTGTTTCTGTATTTTTCACCATGCGAGACTAAATAAAACTTTTGAGAGTCAAATATAACTATCTTTCCTTTTTATGATTTACTGAGTTTAATGAGGATTATCAACAACAATAAACACACACACACACACACACACAGAATATAAGAACTTAGAGGAGGATAAGGGGACAAGTCAAGTCACGTAAATAAACTTGGAAGAACTGGGCATGTTAAGGCTAGAAACGACAACTCAGTGGCTGAGCTGAGCAGGATGGCTTTATAGTCGCAAAGACTGAATGCTCGGAAAGTTTCCTAAGAAACAGCTATAGGAAAAACAGAAGTTTTAAAACAACCCACATTTATAGAGTTGTTATTCAAATTATCCTAATAACACACTTCTCCTAAAGTCAATACAAGGAAAAGTTATTTAACTATATCTTATATTCATTCAACCTTGTATCTAACACCTACTGAGTCAAACTACGCACATTTCGTATTGTTTCCGTTTTTTATTTTTTTATTTATTTTTTTTTCAAATGCTTTATTTTTATTTACTTATTTACTTTCCCCCCCAACTTTATTGAGGTATAGTTGACAATTAAAATTGTATATATTTAAGACATATACCATATGCATATATAATATTTTATTACTAAGTAATAAAAATATTACTAACTATAGCACGTTGTTGAACATTAGATCTTGAACAACTGAATTTAATTAGTCCCATCACATCATAAGAAGTACTTAATATATTTACAAATAAAAACAGCAAATTCTTTACTTTAAATGCAATGTCTTTCTTTTTTTTTTTTAATTATTTTTTGTTTCCGTTTTTTAAACTGAATTTTAAATGCTATGTACATTTGTTATTGCCATTAAACATTTTTCAAAATACCTTTTTGTTCACTTCACAGAACATAAACATTTTTACTATGTGAGATTATCATACAGGCCTGGAAGACGGTTTGTGTGTTTGGTAGGGCGTATTGCTGTTCACTCTTCTAATTCCTTTGATGCCCAATCCCTGGCTGAGAAAAATCACCTCTACTCTGACCCACCACACTGGAGCCTTTAACACTTTGGGGGGATATGAGCCCTGGCCGGTGTTGTTCGTTCAGTGGTTCGATTCCCAGTCACAGGCACCTAACTGGGTGCAGTTTGATACCCACCCAGCAGGGGCTTGTGCAGGAGGCCACCAATTAATAAGTCTCACATTGATGTCTCTCTCTCTCTCTCTCTCTCTCTCTCTCTCTCTCTCTCTCTCTCTCTCAATCTCTCTCTGTCTCTCTCTCCCTTCCTCCCTCTCTCTCTCTCCCTTCCTCCATCTCTTCCACTCTATCTAAAATCAGTGGCAAAATATCCTTGATGAGAATTAAGGATTAACAAAACAAACAAACAAAATGCCAGGGAAATAGGGAATTTTGAGAGGGGGGGAAATCACATTATTCTATTTTTTTAAATGTATTTTTATTGATTTCAGAGAGGAAGGGAGAGGGAGAGATAGAAACATAAATGATGAGAGAGAATCATTGATTGGCTGCCTCCTGCATGCCCCCTGTTGGGGATCAAGCCCACAACTGGACATGTGCTCCAGACTGGAATCCATCCTGGGACCCTTCATTCCATAGACTGACACTCTTTCCACTGAGACAAACCTGATTGGGCCACATTATTCTTTTTTCTTTCTTTTTTTTAAATATATTTTATTGATTTTTTACAGAGAGGAAGGGAGAGGGATAGAGAGTTAGAAACATGATGAGAGAATCATTAATCAGCTGCCTCTTGCACACACCCTACTGGGATGTACCCGCAACCAAGGTACATGCCCTTGACCGGAATCGAACCTGGGACCTTTCAGTCCGCAGGCCGACGCTCTATCCACTGAGCCAAACCGGTTTCGGCTCCACCATGACTTTTTAAAAGATGCCAGCCCTAGCCATCTGGGTCAGTGTATAAAGCATCAGCCTGTGGACTAAAAGGTCCCAGGTTCGATTCCAGTCAAGGGCACATGCCCAGGTTGTGGGCTGGCTCCTCAGTGGGGAAGTGAGGGGCCTGCAGGAGGCAGCTGATCAATGATTTTCTCTCATTATTGATGTTTCTATCTTTCCCTCTACCTTCCTCTCTAAAATCAATAATATTTAAAAAATAATAATTTTAAAAATACAAATAAAAAATGCCAAAAGTGAAAAGCAGATTATTTCATGGTATATATATTCCTCTTTTGGATAAAGGAAGTCTTCAACATGCTTCCCTCAGTGATTCTCTCTCATCTCCATGCCAAATTCCAAACTGATTCCATATTGCCAAAACCATTTGCTTAATGTTCACTATCTCCATTCTTATAAGAAAGTGTGTAATTGGCCGAAACCGGTTTGGCTCAGTGGATAGAGCATCTCGGTCTGTGGACTGCAAGGTCCCAGGTTCGATTCCGGTCAAGGGCATGTACATTGGTTGCGGGCACATCCTCAGTAGGGGGTGTGCAGGAGGCAGCTGACCGATGCTTCTCTCTCATCGATGTTTCTAGCTCTCTATCCGTCTCCCTTCCTCTCTGTAAAAAATCAATAAAAAATATATATTTTTTAAAAAGTGTGTATTTGTAAGACTGAGGACTGGCTTTCTAGTCTGGTTTCAAAATAATGGTATTTTCTAGGTAACTACAATAGAAAAGAACTTGTTACTCAAAATGTAACTATAAATATAAATTTATTGCTCTGAGCAATTGCTCACTTCCCATCACATGAAACAAAATGTCAGCACACTCATACCTGTGGCACCATGGCAACCCGCTGGTTTCTTTTGGGTGATCTTGTATTTATTTGTCTGTCATCTTCATCAGAGAAGAATCGACTTCGTTTTGAATTTCTGAAAGGCTATGATATAAATTATTTTATTTCATGAAAAGACTCAACACATCCCATTTTTTCCAAAATATAATTCTATGTTGGAAAGTACAGATAACTCTAGATTATCAGCAAGCAGTACAGAAGGATAAAGTATAGGTAATACAAAGTACAAATGATCTCAGATTTAGAAAATAGGAAGATACATATTTATGCAAAATGTTTACAAAAACACCTAACTGATAATGAAACTAGAATAAATCTCATTAGCACACTAGCAGCTCTGAGTGAAGACCGGAAGGTAAATTCTGGAAATTCCAGTTCTTATTCTGCTGGTGTCTGGGTTAACGCTGGCCAGGAGTATCACTCACGTCTGCTGCACAGGCTGGCTAGGCAGTCACAAAGCCGCTCTAGAGGGTAAACCTAAATGTATATAATAGACTAGATCTGAGGTCAAAAACTGTTAACTGAATTTCCATCTATAGATAAAAATATGAGATACCTATAACAGATACCTGATAAATGCCTGTAGAACTAAAAAAATAACCTTAAGTGCCAGAAATACATCATATACTTCAGGGTGTATAATATGAAAATTTTTAGTCCATTCTAGGTTCAGAGGTCTCATTAAAAGAACAGAAATAATGTCCCATAGTACCTGCATCCTTTTTCAAATCCTTCTTCCACTATTCAAGACAGCTTCATGCCTATTTAGAAGGGAGGGAGGTACAGAGAGCTAGCACATATGGGCAGCTCCCAATCGGGTCAAGGTTAGAGGTTAGGATCTCGAAATTAAATCCACTGAGAGTCTCAAGACTCCATAGCCCTGACCGGAAGCCCTTCTCCCCTGCTTCCTCCCAAGAGGAGGAGGAGAATGATGGTGACAGAACTGACGGGAGCGTACAAAGTCCTGCACATCAACTACAGTCACCTGTCCAGGTGTGACCACTGCTGTGCATCCCAGCTCCAGGCTTGTTTCAGGGCTGACCCCTAAAGCCTCCTGGGAAGGGGAGGAGCAAAGGTCCCCCAAATCATGAGTCACCCCTAAAAGCAATTACCCTTGACCTACACAAGACATTAATGTTTTACCATGTATTTATATATCTTTGTGTAGGGACCAGAGCCATGCAAATTTTACTAATAAAAGCACGAGTTTGGGTTGTTGGGAGTTTTTTTTTTTATTATTTATTTAAAAAAGACTACAATTACTTAACAAATGCTTAATAATGACCAGATTATCACAGACTACAAATTATTTACTTATATATGATCATATACTGCTCAACGGCACTTAAAAGACTCAAATGCTTGCCCTGAAGGGGTAGTTCAGTTGGTTAGGGTATATACAAGAAGCAACTAATGAATACATAAATTAGTGGAACAACAAATTGATGTTTCTCTATTTCTCAAATCGATGAATTAAAAAAAAACAACCTCAAATGCTTAAAGGTGGGGGAAAATCTTCGAAAAGTTTTACTGTGCTATAAGAACTTGCACATGACAATAATACAAACAATTTAGCTATCATATTCTAAAAATTAATTCCTTACCATTTCCACAGCAGAGCCTGAATTCCTGCCTTTCCAAACAGGTGTTTTTTGTAAAGAACTGAACTTTTCATTCCATGTGTTAGATAAGCTTCCCTCTGTAATAAATAATTATTACTAATAAAATTTAAGTTTAATTCAAAGGATTTCATTCTTTGAACACTGCCTTTTTAAAAGCAATATAATTGAAATATTTACCAAAGTGAAAAAAAATACACTGATCATAAAAACTTCAGTTTATTACAAATGAAAGGTCTCATCTGTGTTTTTGTTGTTGTTTTTTGTCAAACTAAGTAACTTGCTAGGCAATGCATCTTGAAAATATTAAATTTTCTTATTAAAATATGGGTGGCTTCTTTCTTCTTGGTTTTAAATGATTCCTCTATTCTAATTTTCCAAGAACTAAATCATAAATACAATCTAATCGAAAGCAGGCAAAGGAAAAAACTTCTTCTAACCTTGAATTTAGGCATATTTCTAAGTGTTTTCTACTTCAATATATAAACCCTTGATATTTGAAATTGGAAATGTGTGCTGCTTCTGTTCTCCTTAATTCTAAGAAGTGTCTTGAGTTGTATGTGACCAGAGAGATTCAATCAAGTGGCTGACTAGACACACTATGAAAAGAAGGTTGAGTTTAATTTTATAAAAAGGCTATCTTTATACAGAGAGAAACACAGAACCCTGGATGGATATACCAAATGCAGTTAGCTTCATTTCCCTCTAGCTGCTCATCAGCATTTTCTAATTTTTTCCTATAAGAAACTTTATTGTGTGTGTGTGTGTGTGTGTGTGTGTGTGTATGGATACATGTATTTTTAAAAGAAAAGTGATTTTAATATTGAGGAAGAATATGAAATACACCGAAACTGGTTTGGCTCAATGGATAGAGCGTCAGCCTGCGGACTGAAAGGTCCCGGGTTCCATTCCAGTCAAGGGCATGTACTTTGGTTGCGGGCACATCCCCAGTGGGGAGTGTGTAAGAGGCAGCTGATCGATGATTCTCTCTCATTGATGTTTCTAACTCTCTATCCCTCTCTCTTCCTCTCTGTAAAAAAATCAATAAAATATATATTTTTTAAAAAGATATGTTTAAAAAAAAAGAATATGAAATACTTTTATCAAGTACTAAGTATTTCATAATAATGAAATACTTTTTTAATAAGTACAAAAGAAGGATGGGGTTGATCTTGGTAGGCAAATAAATTAGGGTAACACTGGAATAACAGTGTTCTGAAGCCAGATTTAATTTGGTAAATCACCAATTCAAAGCACAACATAGTAGTTTTAAAAATTAAGAGGACTGATTAACCGTAGACTATCTAGCTTAGTTACAAATGTGCTTACCTAGTAGAATCTTGCTCAAAAGGTAAAATTTAAAAATAAGCTATATTAAGAGGGTTGGTCTAAGGTACTACTTACAGAAAGAAATACCATGTTTCCCCCAAAATAATACAGTGTCTTATATTAATGTTTTCTCCCAAAGTTGCACTAGGTCTTATTTTCAGGGGATGTCTTATCTTTCCATGCGCTAGGTCTTATTTTCGGAGGATGTCTTATTTTTGGGGAAACATGGTAGCAAGAACAAGGAACATTATCTTTTTTCTCAGAAAAGGAAATTATTTATTGTCCTTTTATTTTTAAGAGATTTGCATTATTACTTAAAGCCAAGATTCTTAAAAAAAAATAAGCTATTATGCGAAAATACAGCTTAGCATAATTGTTTAATGAATGTTTAAAAAATAAATGTTTTAAATCTAATAATAAAGTTCTTTAGTCAATAATTCTAGGGAGAAAAAATTCTTAGTAATTTCTAACATCCAAGGACCAATTTGTAACAGCATATGAATGTAAACTGTCACCAGTGAAAACCAGTATTGAAAAGCTATAATGAATCATAACTCAGAAGAGAGAAACATTAACCCACATTCATTCAATGAATTAAGTCTCTAGTTTATGCCTTACCTACAGAATCATGGTGGGACCCTTACCTTTTAAACTGACAAGGGCTTTTGCTGAAGAGCCTGCAATTAAAACAAATCACTATTATTTCATAATCAAAGTGAGGGAAAAAGAACTTGATTCGGGGGTAAAAGCAATCCATTCGGTTTTAGCGAGGTGGAGTTTGAAGTGACGGTGGGTGAGCAATCAGAGGTAACGAGCAGACAAGTCAGGCTTCTAACCTGACCTCTGAAGGTGAGGAGAACGGAGAGAGACATCGGGAGGATTACTGAGGTGGTGAGAGTGGAGGCCTTCCCCAGGGGAAATGTAGAAAGAGGGAATGAGGACGACTTAAGGACAGACACATGCTGTATCTCCACCTAGAAGCGTGTGGTGCTGAAGGAAGAGAAGGGAACCACATGCACTGAGGCAAAGACAGAGGGCAGCACAGCGGGAAACCGGAAGGACCCGGCGCTGTGGCAGAAGGCGGGATGTGCCATGCTTCCAGATCCAGGCTGCAGAAGGAGTTAGGAAAGGCAAGGGGACCAGCTTGGAGTTGGAGGGTTCACTGGCTACACAAATGTTAGTGCGTATTAGAATGATCAGGACGCGCCTCCAACACAGAATCTGAGCGATGATAAAGGTCACTAGGGGATTCTGGTGCAGTAACCACGGGCTCTCTGAGAAGCACGAGCTGCTGGTGTGAATCAGGATAGGGTCTTATGAAAAAGGGAGAGCACTAAGCTGAAAATCTCTGAACTGCACATGTAAGCTGCAAAGAGTCTAAGCCTTCTGAAAATTAATAAAGGGTGATCTCTGTCACTGATGTGTGGCAGCAAACAAACCAACAAACTCAGGCAGGCACAGAGAAGAGACTGATGGCTGCAGGGAGGGGGAAACAGGTTATAAGACAAATGCATCCTGGGATGTGATGTGCAGCACGCTGACACAGTGAACAATACCATGTTCTATAGCTGAAAGAGGCTAGAACAGATCTTAAAAGTTCTCATCACAAGGAATAAACTTGTAACAATGGGTAGAAATGGGTGTTAGCAAGACTTACTGTGGTAATAATTTTTGTTCCATATATCCTCCTATATAATAAAGAGGTAATATGCAAATTGACCCTCACGCCCTTACAAGATGGCTGTCTACGACCTGGCCAGCAGGGGGGTTAGTGAGGGATGACCAAACAACTGAACAACAGGCTGCATGGGGCGACCAGGCCAGCAGGGAGGGCTGTGAGGGGCAATTAGGCCTGCGTGGGGAGGGGAGGGACAGTTGTGGGTGACCAGGCTGGCAGGGAGGACAGTTGGGGGCAATTAGGCTGGCAGAGGGGGGCAGTTGGGGGCAACCAGCCCAGGGAGCGGGGGAGTTAGGGACAACAAGGCCAGCAGAAGGGGGTAGTTAGGGGTGACCAATCAGGCAGGTGAGCAATTAGAAACCAGTGGTCCAGGATTGTGAAAGCCAGTTTAGGCCCGATCCCCAAGATCGAGCCTAAACCGGCAGTCAGACATCCCCCAAGCAGTCCCAGATTGGAGAGGGTGCAGGCTGAGGGGACTCCCGTCCACCCCATCCCACCCCCCACCCCCCGTGCATGCATTTTGTGCACCGGGCCTCCAGTATATCTATAATAAGAAGCGCATAATATACTAATTCCACTGGAAGTCCTTCTGGAAGGTGCCATGGCAGAGCCGGGGATCCCTCACAATCCAGGACTGCTGGCTCCCAACTGCTCACCTTCCTGCCTTCCTGATTGCCCCTAATCGCTTCTGCCTGCCAGCCTGCTCACCCCGTAACCACTCCCTGCCAACCTGATTGATGCCTAACTGCTCCCCTGACAGCCTATTTGCCCCTAACAGCCCTCCCCTGCAAGCCTAGTCATCCCTAACTACCCTCCCCTGCAGGCCTGGTCCCCCCAAACTACCCTCCCCTGCTGGCCATCTTATGACCACATGGGGGCAGCCATCTTGTGTGTTGGAATAACAGTCAATTTGCATATCACTTTTATTAGATAGGATAAAGGCCTGGTGCTTGGGCGGGGGCCAGCTGGTTTGCCCTGAAGGGTATCCCAGATCAGGGTGGGAGTTCCCTTGGGGCATGAGATGGCCTGTGGTGTTTTGCAGGCTGGCCACACCTCCCAGCAACCAAGTGGAGGGCCTGGTATCTAGGATTTATTTATCTTCTATAATTGAAACTTTGTAGCCTTGAGTGGAGCCAAGTCTCTCCTGCTCTCTCCATGGCTGCAGACATTTTTGTTGGGATTTATTTATCTTCTATCATTGAAACTTTGTAGCATTGAGTGGAGACCTGGGCAGGCAAGGGCAGGCAGAAAGCTTGGCTTCCTCCATTGTCTGGGAAACTCGAGCCTCCCTCCTGCTCTCCGTGGCTGCAGCCATCTTGGTTGGGTTTATTTGCATATTTGCTTGGGTATGACTTGTGGGCGAGGCTTGTGAGTATAGTGGGGGTGTGGTCAATTTGCATATTACTCTTTTATTAGATAAGGGGTGTGTGTGTGTGTATCAAATCATTATGTTGTACACCTAAAACCAATGTTATGTCAATTATATCTCAATTTTATTTATTTTTAAAAATATATTTTATTGATTTTTTACAGAGAGGAAGAGAGAGGGATAGTTAGAATCATCAATGAGAAAGAATCATCGATAAACTGCCTCTTGCACACACCCCCACCGGGGATGTGCCCACAACCAAGGTACATGCCCTTGACCGGAATCGAACCTGGGACCTTTCAGTCCGCAGGCCGATGCTCTATCCACTGAGCCAAACCGGTTTTGGCCTAAAAAGAAATTAAGAGAGAAAAACACCCTTTCTATGCTCCAAACCAGAAGTTATTCATAGAATTATACACTGACTGGCCAGGTTATTATGATCTCTGAATGCATAATAATCTGGCCACTCAGTGTATTATCCTATATAATAAAAAAGCTAATATGCAAAATGTCCCCTCAACCAGGAGTTCTACCAGCAGGCAGGCTGGCCAACCATCCATGTCCCCTCCCCTTGGCTGGTTGGACCCATCCATGAATGAATTCTCTAAAATACACACACACACACACACTGAGCGTCCAGATTATTAAGTGTTCAGAGAGCATAATAATCTGGCCACTCAGTGTAGATGAATAAATCTTCTTCTGTTTAGAACACCTATTATTTTTCTTACTAGTCAAATTATTCTTCATTCCTAGTTTTCAACTTTATTTCATAACCAGCTACTTTCTCATCTCAGTTACTGTGACATCCATTTATATTTGTAAGACTACAACCTAAGTTAGACAGGAGTGAAGTCATTTGAAATGTGATCTGCATTGAGAAAAGACAATTTTTTAAATGGCATGTTCAAAATGCGTGTAAACATCTTTAAAAAGCCACTACAAATATAAACACTGATAAATAAAAGATAAATTCAGCGGATAAAGAAAGAACATGAACTTCAACATCAAAACCACTGTTGCTTTCACTCTATCCTCTTGCCCAGATGTGGAGGATGGTTAACAGGACAGCCTCACAGCTTCTGTGTGGCAAAACGAAGCTTAATGGCCACAGGCAGTGAAGCTGCGGGGCAGCCGTTGGGGAGAAATGCTGTCAAGTCTTGCTAAGAAACCTCACACAACACAACACAACAAAAACAGTGGTGGTGGGCAGGACACACCCATGCAGCGTGGCTACCATGAGAAACATGGTTCATTGGAGAAAAAGGGGTGGTCTTGACTCATTTGGGAGTTTGTATAGACTGCCAACTGCATCCGTCCCTGCTAGAGGAACATGGGACAGGACAGCATGGAGTCCCAGCTCTCACAGGATTTACCTTCTAGTGAGGGGAGACAAACACACACCGCCTGGACGGAATAATGCAGGACGTGACATGATCAGGGAATGTGGAGTGGGTGGGGAGGGAAGACTATTTTCCTATAAAATGCTCACGATTAGCTTCTCTAGAGGTGCTACGTGAGCAGAGATCTGGAGGAGAGGAGAGGAGAGGTGTGAGCAGCAAGGACAGCCCTTCCAGCTCCAGGAAGGCTGGAGCTCTGTCTGGGGTTCTGGCCTATCTCCTTTCACCTTTCACCTTTTTTGAGAGAACGCATTGCAGAGTGGCCGAGAGCAGATTGAGACTAGCTGTATTTCAATCTTGGTTCTTCCACATCCTTGCTATGTTACCTTAAGCAAGTCACTTAACCTCTCTTTGCAACTTAACGTGAGTAAATACATGGAAAAGTGCTTAGAGCACATAGTACATGGCTAATTCTTATATCATGCTGTTAGTATGACTTTTGTCAATTAAAAAAACCCACAACTATTAGGTTAAGAACATAGATTTTGCCAAAACCGGTTTGGCTCAGTGGATAGAGCATCGGCCTGCGGACTGAAAGGTCCCAGGTTCGATTCCGGTCAAGGGCATGTACCTAGGTTGCAGGCACATCCCTGGTACGGGGTGTGCAAGAGGCAGCTGATCAATGATTCTTTCTCATTGAGGTTTCTAACTATCCCTCTCTCTTCCTCTCTGTAAAAAATCAATTTTTATATATATATATATATATATATATATATACACACACACACACACACACACACACACATATATACTGTGTGTGTGTGTGTGTGTGTGTGTGTATATATATATATATATATATATATAAAGAACATAGATTTTACAGGCATATGAATTTAAGTTAGAATCCTGCTCTAACTGGATATGTTCATTCATCCATTCAACAAATACTCGCTGAGTGACAGCACTATTCTAAGCGCTGGGTTCCAGGAAGGAAAAGATAAGCAATGCCTCTGCTCTCGAGAGCGTGCACACACAGAAGGAAAGCACACACAGTGGGAGGAGACACACAGTAGGCCAGCACAGAATGATAATCACACTTGGGCAGTTGTTATAAAGGAAACCAAGGAGGTGAGCTGGGTGTAAGGTGTGACTTTACACAGGACAGTCAGGGAAGGTTCTCGGAGGAGGGAAATCTGAAAGGGACCAATCATGCAAGAGCAGGAAGTCAAACCAGAGTCTGGTAGAACAGTAGGTAAAAAAAAAAAAATAAAACTGAAGTACAAAGTGTAGCATATTCAAGGGAGGGAGGGAGGCCACCAAGCTAGAGGAGTAGCTGGCACGGGGCATGGTATGAAAACAAGTCAGAGAAGCCAGCCAGGTGCTAGGCATGGGGCTGGGATGAAGAAACACAGTAATGGTACCTTCTCTAGTGCAACTTCTAACCAGAGTTAAGCACCGCACTGACAGATGTAAAGCTGCCACTGTGACTGCCCCTCTCGGCAGTGACACAGCGGTGTGAAAAGATTCGGTAAGAAGATGTCATCTTTGTCAGGGAGGAGAGGAAAGGCGCCTGAACGAGGAAAAAGGGACCTAAAGGATAAGCAGTGAACCAGAAGTGACAGGAGGAAGAGCATTCCGAGTGGAGGGAAGAGCAGCAGGCCAGCCCTGCCTGGTGAGTGTCGAGTGAAAAAGATCAGAACAGAGGACCAGCGCCACCCAGTAAAGCCGGGGGCGGGTCAGGAGGTGGTGTAGGCAGCTGGGTGGCACATACCTATTCCGCCATTCTCATGTGTGCAGGCTGAGGTGGGATGGCAGGGGTGGGTCTGAAGATCATGAGGCTGAAGTCATTAGCGCAAGGAATGGATGCTGACAGCGAGGACTGGGGTGTAGTGAGAAGTGGGTAGAATTTTTTTAAGGCAAAAGTTACAAGACTTAGTAAAGGCTTAAACAGGGAAAGTAAAAAAGGGGGAAGTTCCAAATATAACCTCTAGGTTTCAGCTGAACGCACAGCGAAGCCATTCATTAAGACAGGAGCCACTGGAAGGGTCTCTCTCCCGGGATGGGGTTATGAGGTGGATCTCGAACCCGTGAAGTTTGAGGGGCCTCAGGCATCTAAGAGGAGATGTGAAACAGGCACCAGATGTCAAGAACAGGAGCTGCCGAGGGAAGACCTGGGCTGAAGGTAGCCTCAGTTTCCTCAAACATAACATCAAACCAGGACGAGTACTTACCGCGAGCGAATGAGGGTTAACGAGCAAACGCAGTCACCCAGCAGCTGGTTTCTGGTAGCTTTTGGCCCTGAGGACGCCAGGCCAGCTACTGGCTGGCTTGTTAGCTCGTTAGTCCCCTGGACTCAAACTGGCAGAGGGGCCTATCACTAGGCCCCGTGTCCCCTCTCAAGCTTCCGCTCCAGGTTCGCTAAGGATGCCTCTTCCCACAGTCAGCTCCATGTAAGCGAGTGGTACCATGGCTGATGGAGGCCCTGAGTGCCAGCCAGGTGAGGCCTCCCTGCTCTGCACAAGCTGCTGGCTGGCTGAACACGCTCTGCCACCCATGCCATCCAGATGGCACACACTGCGGTGACAGTGGTCAGGGGGTGGCGGTGATAAGGGGGTGGCAGTGGCCAGGGGGTGGCGGAGGTCAGGGGGTGACGGTGGTCAGGGGGCGGTGGTGGTCAGGGGGTGGCATTAAGGGGGCGGCGGTGGTCAGGGGGCGGCGGTGGTAAGGGGGGTGGCAGTAAGGGGGCGGCGGTGGCCAGGGGGTGGCAGTAAGGGGGTGACGGTGGTCAGGGGGTGGCAGTGGTCAGGACCCACCGAGAACCCCTCTGTTGAACAGAGAGGCTACAGTCACTGGGATAGCGGCTCTCACGGCGGCCACTTCTAAGCGGTGATGGAGAATCTTAGGCCCAGACGGTGAGGACCCCGGGTGACCGCCCGGCTCAGGGCCCCTCCGCATGGCCTGGGGGGCGTCCCACCTCACCGCCAACCGTGCTCGCCCCCCGGAAGCTGCGGGTGCCCACCGCTCGCCCTGCCCGCCCCTCTGAGCTCATCAGGACGGAATCGTATAAAACGGAAAGGCAGCTCCGGCCGCTCCAGCCCGTCTGAAGGGCTCCGACCTGGGACCCGGGCAGGTGGGCGCCACCCGGGGAGCGGGCTCCGTCCCGGGTCCCGGCCGCCCGCACAGGGAGCCCATGGGCATGGCCGCCCTCCGGCCCCTCCCGGCGCCCGGGCCCGCAACGGGCGGCGCGGGGCCGCGCTCCGGGGGTGACACGCCGCTCCCCGCACCGTCCCCCGCGGCTTCGCTTGTTTACTTGCTGGCGCGGCGCGGGTCCGAGCGGGGGCGCCGCGGGCGCCCGCGGGTCACGTCCGTGGGGAGGCCCCGCGCCTGAGGCCGCCGTCGCCGAGCGGCGGGCGGGCGGGCGGCGCGGGGAGGGCCGGGCGGGCGGGCGGCCACCTGTGGGCCCGGCGGCCCCGCTGACACGGAAACGCTTCCCGCGGGCGGGCGGGCGGGCGGGCGGGGGCCGGGCCGGGCAGGTGCGGCCGCGGCGCGGGCCCGGGACCCTCCGCCGGAGTTACATAACCCGCCGCCTCCGCGCCGCCGGCCGGGCCCCCGCCTCCGCCCGCCCCGCGCCGCGGCCCCCGCTCCGCGCCCCGCCGGCCCCGGGCTCCCTCCCGGCTTCCGGCCCCGGCGCTCCCGCAGCCCCGGAGCCCCGCAGGCACCACAACAAAGGCGGCGGCGCGGGGCCGCGGGGGCACCGGGGCCGCGGGGTCCGGGGGCCGCCCACCCGCCGGGCGGGGGGCACGGGCGCCCGTCACGGCCGGGGCGGCCCGCGGGCGGGCGGCCGGCGGGAGGAGGGGGTGCCCTGCGGCGCTACTCACTCTCGTCCGGCAACTGGTCGAGCTCCGCCATCTTGAACGAGCCGCGCCGCTTTTTCAAAGGCTGCCCGCCGCGGTGCATTGTGGGGCGGGGCGGCTGCGAGGGAGGTTCGAATGCGAGCGCGGCCGCCGCGCCGCCCGCCGTCAGCCCCGCCGCCCGCTCCCCGCCCGCCGCCCGCCTTTCCCCGCCGCCCGCCCGCTGCGTCCCGCTCCCGCTCCCGCTCCGCTGGCCCCCGCTCCCCGCTCCCGCCGAGGGCCGGGCCCGCCGCTGCGGAGGGGGCGCCGCGGGCGGAGCGGCCTCGCCCCGGGCCCGGTCTGAGGAGAGGCCGGGAGCGCCGGGGGCGCTGCGCGAGCTCCCGAGGCCGCCGCCCCCGCCCGCCCGGGCTCCCGGCCCCGCGGGCGGCGGGCCTGAGGTGAGGAGCGCGGGCGGCTTGCTCCGCGGGGAGGGGAGCGGCGGCCGCGGCGGGGAGGCAGCTCGGAGTCCGCTCCCCGGGCCCCGCACCCGCGCTCCCGGTCGCCGTCCCTCCCCGGGAGCCGGGAGGGCAGGCCGCCGCCGCGGGCCCGTCGGGACTCGGTGGCGGTCGGGACCCCTTCCCAGCGGGGCCGCGCCGGGAAGGGAGGCCGGGAGGTCGCGCTCCGCCTCCCGGGGGCGCGGGCAGCCGTGCGGGCCGGGCTGGCGGGCCGGGGGCCGCGGGGACCGGCCGGAGGCGCTGGCCCGGAGCGGAGGCCGGGGCCCGGCGTCCTGAAGGCGGTGCCCACGGCGTGGAGGACGGACCCGGGGGTCAGGGCGAGGCCTCGGGAGGAGGTGTGCGGGTGGCGGGCTCAGGGTCCGAGGCCTGGCTGTGATTCTGGCTGCTGGTGTATAACCTCAGGTTTTGTTTTTTTGTGGGGGTTTTTTGTAGTATTTTTAACATCAATTTTTATTTTTTTAAGATATATTTTATTGATGTTTAACAGAGAGAAAGGGAGAGGGATAGAGAGCTAGAAACATCGATGAGAGAGAATCATCGATCAGCTGCCTCTTGCACACCCCCTACTGGGGATGTGCCCGCAACCAAGGTCCATGCCCTTGACCGGAATCGAACCTGGGACCTTTCTGTCCGCAGACGGACGCTCTATCCACTGAGCCAAACCGGCTTTGGCTTTAACATCAATTTTTAAAAATATGTATATTTTATTGGTTTTTTTACAGAGAGGAAGAGAGAGGGATGGAAGGCTAGAAACACCAATGAGAGAGAATCATCAATCAGCTGCCTCCTGCACACTCCCTTCCCCACTCCACATGTGCCCACAACCAAAGCACATGCCCTTGACCGGAATCAGGCCAACGCTCTATCCACAGAGCCAAACCGGCTTCGGCTCAGGTTTGTATCTTAATTCCTCAGTTTCTCAGTCTGAAATGCAGACAATAGCAGGGTTGTCTTGAGGATTAAACGAGTTGATGGATGAAAAAAAAAAGCCTGACAGGATAGTTTCCCCGCAGGCATTCTGGCCCACATGTTAGCTGTTGCTTCCCGCTTTGGAATAGGGTGTGCTGTTAGTGGCACCAGCTTTGTGCCTTGGGTAGCTGGCGGGGAGGGGGGTGGGAGGGCAGGATGTGAGCAGAGGTTTAAAAATTAAACGTTACCCAACAACATTCTCATCTCCTTTCTGAGACTATAAAAAACCATTGACCCCTGATGTCAACCCTCTGAAAATGAAAAAACAAAAGCAAAAGTCAGGGAGCGGAAATAAGAGTTTGAATGTGACCCCTGGGCGAGGTATGGTTAAGCCAAGGCAAATCCTAAGGCGGGTTTCATACCCAGTAGCAGGTCTGCTGTCACGTGTTTTCAGGCCACTCCCGGCAGTCTGTGTTTTAGACAAACACCCTCCTGAATGGGTTTTCACCCTCAGGCCTGAAATTCTGTCCCAACAGCAGGCCTACCCCTTATTACCTGTGCGACTGCAACATTCCTTAGCGATTATTCTCAAAGAGCTTCTTTACCGGGTGTTTATGAGAGGGTTTTAAATCATCGCCTTACTTGATTCTTCCCAAAACCTGGTTACTTGTTCAAGGACAATGTCCACCAGGTGATGGAATCAGGCATCTGGCCCACTTTCCTCCATTTCCTCCCTCTGTGATGTTAGGACAACATCCATCACAGGGCTGTTAAATATTAGATTTTGTATTCCAGCTTCTAATGACATGTCTGCATAAGTGTCATTGCTTAAGAAGAAAAAAAAAACTGGACAAGGACACTAAGCCATGAAAAATCTAGATAATACACCATAAAAAAATAAGCAGCTACATTTTAGGCATATCAGGGCTCATCATTTCCTGTCCTGTGGCCCATTTATCAAATATTAAGTTGTTTCTGTGTAAACTTGAGTGCCCCAAAGGACATTATCAAGAATGCAAAAAGAGCCCTGATGGGTTTGGCTCAGTGGATAGAGAGGTGGCCTGCAGACAAAGGTCCCAGGTTCAAGTCCGGTCAAGGGCATGTACCTTGGTTTCGAGCACATCTCCAGTGGCGGGTGTTCAGGAGGCAGCTGATCAATGTTCCTAACTATCCCTCTCCCTTTCTCTCTGTAAAAAAAAGAAAAATCAATATATTTTTTTTAAAAAAATGCAAAGACAACTTTCAGAATGGGAGGAAATACTTGCAAATCATTATCTCATAAGGGACTTACTAGTATACATAAAATATATAAGGGAATTATATCCAAAATAACCCAATTCAAAAATGGGGAAAGGCTCAAAAGAACATACAATAAACCAGTATGCACATGAAAAGATGCTCAACGTGGCCAAAACCGGTTTGGCTCAGTGGATAGAGCGTCGGCCTGCAGACTGAAAGGTCCCAGGTTCGATTCCGGTCAAGGGCATGTACCTGGGTTGCGGGCACATCCCCGGTGGAGGATGTCAGGAGGCAGCTGGTCGATGTTTCTCTCATCGATGTTTCTAGCTCTATCTCCCTTCCTCTCTGTAAAAAATCAATAAAATATATTTTAAAATAAAATAAAAGATGGTCAACATCATTAGTCATTAGGGAAATAACAAATCTAAATCACAATGAGATAGCACTTTACACCACTGAATCAGAGAGACCGTAACAAGTATTGGCAAAGGTGTGGAGAAATTGAAACTTGTCCACAGCTTGTGGGAATGTAAAATGGTGTAGCCACTGCAGTAGTTCCTCAAAAAATTAAACATAGAATTACCATATGATCTAGTAATTTCACTTCTGAAAATGGACATATGTTGGCGATATTGTGGGTTCAATTCCAAGCCATCTTTCTGGTTGGAGGAGCTGGCCTTCAATTTGTACCAAAAAAAGCCACATCTGCGAAGCACAATACAACGAGGTATGCCTGTATATACCAACAGAATTGAAAGCATGGCCGTGAGATACTCGAACACCCTTGTTCATAGCATTATTCACAGCAGTCAAGAGGTGGAAGTAATTCAGTGTCCCTCAATGGGCGAATGGATAAACGAAATGCAGATACACATACAATGGAATATTATCCAGCCTTAAAAAGAAGGAAACTGACGCACACTACAACATGGGTGAACCTTGAGGATACTATACGGAGATAAGGCAACCATCAGAAAACCAATACTTTGATTCCACTCACATGAGGCGCAGTGGTCAACATCACAGAGGCAGGAAGAAGACGTGGTTACCTGGGGCCACACACAGTCCACAAAGGGATGCACCAAGAGTGTCCACCTCAGGTAACGGGATGAGGGGAGGAAGAAGTGGGGAATTACTCTTTAGTGGTATGGAGTTTCAGTTCAGGAAAATGGAAAAGTTCTGGAGATGAGAAGGTATTGTGGTTTCATAGTCGTGTGAATATACATAATGCAATTGGACTGTACACTTAAAAATGGTTAAAATTTTACATTTTATCACAATAAAAAATTCTCTTTTGCACAGGTAGTAATTACAATATGATCCCCTATACAAATATACACCCACGATTAAAGTCCAGAATGACCCCTGGCCAGTGTGGCTCATGGTCCCAGTTCCATTTCTGGGCAGAGCAGTGCATGGTTCAAAGATTGTATCCCTAGTAGGAGGTGTCCCAGAGACAGCTGAGCAAATGAGGTTTCTCCCTCTCCCTTCCTCTGTAAAATCAATAAAAACATATTTTATAAATCCAGAAGGAAAGATAGTCAGTTGTGGCTAACACTGGGTGATAGGATTATGGGTATTTTTATTTTCTTTATATCTGTATCACTTTTCTACAATAACATTCTTACTACTTTTATAATAAAAGCACCTATTGAAAAAGTGTATATTGGTATAATGGAATATTATTGGGCCATAAGAAGAGATGAGAGAAACCAAGATGGCGGCAGAGATAAACACCTGAACTGCTGCCTCACACAACCACTTCAAAACTACAACTAAAAGACAAAACGGACATCAGAGCCACAGGAAGGCTGGCTAAGTGGAAATTCTACAACTATAATAGAAGGAAAGAAAAGCACACAGACTCAGAGGAGCTGCGGAAGTAAAGTGCAGAGGCATGGAGGTGTGCGCACAGAAAGGGCTGGCAACTGAGGATGCGGCTGCATTTTTCAGTCCAGAGGGAGACAGAAGCTCCCAACTGCTGCTCTGAACTCCAGTTCTGGGTGAGACTCTGGGGAACCAGACTCATATGGGGAGAAACTGGACTGTCTGGCATCGGGTGGAACTTAAGGGCGACTTTCTCTCAGAAGTGCTTGCAGTGATTACTGAGGGACACTGAGACCTGGGACCTTTTAAGGCAGGGCGGACGGGAAGCCATTGCTGTTTGCTCCATCCTGAGATCCCGTCCCACCCAAAAGAGGCTTTTGCATATGAATGGCCTGATCCTTTGAAATCTAAAATTACCTAACAAATTGCAGCTGGGTCAGAAAGACCCAGAACATCCAAAAGAAGGGCCACGGCCCCATAGCAGCTTGCATTGCCTTACAGCTGGGCCTCATCTGGGCACCTCCAAAACCCAGACAAAGAAGAGAAATCTGCAGATCTCTCTGTAGCTCCTGCTGAGTAGCCTCAGGCAGAGCCTAAATTAGCAACTACTTGGAGATCCAAGAACAAGTGTACCTAG